AACCTAACAACTTTTTTTAAATAAGAAAAGTGGTGTCGGCATTGAGATTTCCAATTTCTCAATTCTATTTCATCACTTTTATGTAGAAAATTACATCTAAACTTACATGTTAAAAATATTTAGACTCAACCGATGGATGATTGGTGGATTGAATGAAATTTATTTATTTTTTAATTCTCTTTCTTTAAATAAGTGGTTAAAATTTAATTTTCAATTGCTAGGGTAAATGAAGTTTATCTTTTACCTTTCATACCTCTAGGCAGATTTAGTCTAAAAAAATTAAGAAGAAGTGAATCAACCAAATTATGTATATATGATTTCGGATAAATTAATAAATTAATCACCCAATTGATATGTGATCGCTTGTAATTATAGAAAAATACTCCACAGCAATTGAAAAATTGACCACTTTATCTATTTACGATTCATGAAATTGAAGTTTGAGATTTTGTTCAAATAAACAATAAATGTTTTCAATAGTAAATTTTATTAATCAGGGTGATTTAGTAATTTAAAGTCGAACGTATCATGATGATAATGATAATTAAATACGACATTATCAAATTCTCATTATACTTGTAAATGAGTCACATTAATGAAGGATTAATTTGGGAATCTGATATTCAAAATTTATTATACAGTTATTATATGTGTATATGTGTAATATAATCATTATTCATGTGAAATTAATAATTAATAATTATAGTCATAATCAGTGCAAAGCAAGCACACAAGTTTCATGCTTATTTTTATTTTTATTTGTTGTCATTACAAAAAAGAAAAATGATAATAAAATGATAATTTAATCTCTCAAAATAACACAACTTCATCAAAGTCCTTATAAACTTCTGTGTCAATAAATTTTAAATTAAAAGATTATTTTATTTTATTGATAAATTGTGATTTCTTGTTCAGTTGTTATGATTTTTTAAATAAAAGTTATATTCTTTAAATAAAAATTATGATCGGGAATAATTTTTAAATAACATAAATTATATTTGACAATTTAAATTTTTTGTTCAACTATTGTGATTCACAAAATAAAAAGTTATTACTTCTTAAATAAAAATTATGATTGAGACTTGTTATTTTCAATAAGGATAAAATAATTTTTTTACTTTAAGACTTATTGACACAAAAGTCCTTAAAAAATTCAATAGAATTATAATATTTTAAAATATTAAATTATCATTTATATAATTTAAAATATTTTATTATTATTTTTTTGTTGTAAAAATATCCACGGCATAGGATACAATTTTACTACTCTTAAAAAGGTCCTTTTTTTTTTTGCCAGTTTTAAAAAGGTCCTACTGGGTTTGACTTTTTTTATTGAAGAAAATAATTGAAAGGGCTGCTTCTCGTTTAAGACACCACAAATGATTTAGTCTTTAAATATATATATATATATATAACCAAATAGGTCTTTAAAATAAAAACTAGAGATTAAAAAAAAACTAATGGACCAACAACAAAATAAAAACAAGTTAAAACAAGAAAACCAAGACGACAATTACAGAAAGCCTTTCGAAAGAGAATGTCAATATTGCTGCAATGTGATGCAAGCAGATGATGAGATTGGACATTCACATTGTAGTATACTTGCGTTAGTAGCCGATTCAAAAACTAGTTCATCATGAAATTTTAAAAGCACGGTGCGAGATAAGAAGAATTGATTTATTTTCTTCGGACAATTGGAAATCAATTCTTTAATAGATAAGGAGAATTTTAAATAAGGATTAAGAATATAACTTAATTATTAATGAATCTAAAAAAATTTGAAATTTCAGATTTGTCCAAATGATAAGAGTTAAAATAATTTTAACAGTAAAAAGATTAAAGTATCTTTCACTTATAATGTAGAATTATTAGTTAATTTTTTATTTCACTTATTAATTTACTAATATAATTTATAAATTACATAAATTAATATGTTAATAATTATACAAGACTTAACATCAATTGTTCAATCATGAACAATAATATTAGCTGTTAAATTACTAACTTTACTTATTAATTTAGTGACATCAATTGTATTTATAAATTACTAATAAGTCTTGTAATTTACAATTGATATTAGTAATTTAATGAGTAAATTTGCAAATTAATAATTAGTGTTATTGCTTGTCTGACCAGTGAATGTAATTTACAAGTGATATTAATAAGTTAACAAGAGTTATTTACATGTATATTAAGTAAAGAATATTTTAATATTTTTATAGTTAAAATTATTTTTATTTTTATCCTTTGATTAAAGTGAAATTTTAAAATTTTTTTAAAATTTTTTAATAATTAAGTCATATCTTTGAACTCTATTTAAATTTTTCCTAAAGAAAATCGCCTAGGATTTGACATGCCAAAACTGTGATTTTGAAAAGAAATCACTTGTATGAGCTGGAACCAAGCATTGAAAAAGCATTTAGTTGATTATTGAAGTTACTTTCACATTTATTATATATTAAAAATATAATTATTTTTGAGTGTTAAAGTTATTTTCGTATTTATAAATTTGGTGTCTGTATATATATATATATATATATTTTAATTTAAATACGATCAAATTTTAGAAGAACTATATTTTGACCAGTGCAGTATTTTTTTCACTTGCTTATGGGTAACGTAAAAACTTATTTGAGATATTTTTTGAATATTTGTAAAGATCTTTCGTTTGAAGAATAAGAATAAAATAAAAAATTGAAAATAATTTATTTTTATATACTCGTGATATGTTACTTTGTGCAGATTTAAATTTAAATAAAAATTTATTCTATTTTAAATTTTAGAAGAATTATAAATATAAATTTAAATGATTATATATTTTTCTAAATTTAAGTAGCGACTTTTCTAAAACATGTCATACATAAGAAGTTTGTAATAGCTTTTGTCTTCATGGTTCAACGGTTTTTTTTTTTTTTAGTTTTTTGGCCAAAAAAAATTGTAGTCTTAAAAATAATTATAATTTTAAAGAAATATTAGCTTATATTTTTTAGGCGGCCAAAAAAAACTTAAGTTCCATGCATAGCATGGGAAGCGATGTTAACACCTGGCAACTATATAAAGGACCATGCCATTTGTAATATGCAAATAATATAATTTTCTTATATGAGGTTTTTCCCAACATCTAAGATAATTTTATAAGCTGAATGGCTCATTATTTTTTTTTTCAGGCAACATTTGTTTTTTTGCCATGATTCCCAAGCAATGAATGGCTTACTTATAGATAAAGATAGAATGTTAAAAAATGTAAGATATTTTTATTTTTTTAAGCATAATCATTACTTTTTTTAAAAAAATATTCTTATTGAATATATCACTTTATATTTTTTTTAAGGTGAAACCTTTATTAAATAGAAAAAAATATAGAAAGGTAAGATTAGTTTAAAAATAAGTAACTACATTATTAGGAGGTGAGATTCAGTTAAAAATATCTTATATTTTTGAACAGAGACAGTATATATTTAAATGAAAATAATATATTTTAGTGCTTAAAATTCACACAGGGGAGATGTATATTTTCAAATTAAAGATCAAATAATTAAGTTCAGATTCTTTTAGGTATATCTTTTCTTCATTTTATTTATACACACACTACACATCTACAAAACAAAATATTACTTGATAAAAAAATTAGATGCTTTATATAGAAGAAAATAATGCAAAATATAAAAGAAAATAACATAAAATAAGCCATTTGAGTCATAAAAAATAGAAACTACAATGATTATGAGAAAATAGTAAATTTATAGATATTTATATTTTAATTTATCAATTTTTGTGTGTATATAATGTCTATGGCTCACTTTACAATCTGTAGAATATACAGGACCAATGTCCATGTCTTATTATACTATATTGATTTTTTTTTTACCAGATATTATACTATATTGATGATTGATGATGATGATGGTTGTGCTTTTTAAAATTTTGTTGATATTATGGTTCCTTGTCTATTTTTCAAACTCAAACAAATTTTTCTTAAAATTTTAAATTAAAGTATATATCTATTTTAATTAAATGTTTAGTAACTCACAAAAAGAATTAGATTAGATTAATTTAGAAATGAAAAAAAATTATGTCTTTCCTTCATTTTTATTTTCTTCTGTTAAAAAATATAAAATATTTTTTGAGTGACTGAATGTTAAAAATATAAAATATTTTTAATTTTTTAAGATATAATCATTGCTTATTTTTTAAAAATTTTTTATTGAATAAATTATTTTATATTTATTTTAAGTAAAATGTCATATTAAATAGAAGTAACTATAAAAAGATAAAATTAATTTAAAAATAATAACTACTTTATTAAAAAATAAAATTTAATTAAAAATATTTTATTTTTTAATAGAGGGAGTATAATATAAACCACTATATATTTTTATTTTTTATAAGTAAAAATATAAATTTTAAGTAACATTCATTACATTTTTTAATATTATCTTTCATAAATGGATAATATCATTAAATCAAAGAAAAAGTAAACATTAATTCAGAGAACATTTTAGTTTAAAAATTTAAATTTTAAATATAATTATTATAATTAATCAATTTTCGTAAACAATGTAAACTGATTCTTTTCTATATTTGAAAATGCAGGGACTAATCTTGAAAATACTGGTAAAAAGTTAAGGAAAATTTTGTAAGTTACCCATTGTATTATGTCTAAATGCAATTTTCCACTATTAGGTGATTTTGATCCATCGGTATTGCAACGGTCAACAACTTCTCTCTATAAAACCGGCACGCCCTTTGCACGTGATCTTCTTTATTGCTCCACTTTCTCACCCGACATTGCTTTAACATCGTGCTCATCTTCGTGGATACTGTACCACTCACAGGTACCCACACACGCTCTCTCTCTCTCCCTCTACCCCCCCTCGCAGTGCTCTTTTTCCCGTAAATTTCAGCCTCTGAGAATTTCTCGTCGTCGCTTGTTTCTCTAGAAATAATCTTCTCTCCCACAGATTGAGTTCGATTGAACATACATTCATACCGACTTCGTCTATGCTTCATCAATGTTTTAGTGAACGTAAAAAGCAGCTGACGATAGAAATTCCCGCAAAATTCCTATTGCTCAATAAAGTACATTTTGTATTGTAATTTACTTTTTCGAGCTCGGTATCGAATATTATTGTGAGAATCAGGTGCTGGATCGTAAGTTTATTATTGAGGTTTCAACAATTTTGAAGTCTCTACCGCAATGCATGGGTATAGTCGCTTAGGAGGAGCACGGTCCGGCAGCTCGCCGCCGTCATCACCTCGATTCCGTCATGGCCGGAGCAAGAGCAATGGCTGGGCGAATGGGTTTGTCGGTGGTGGAATCAGCGGTTCCAAGGAGCGTACACTGGAGAAGTTGCTCTTTGGACTTATGTCGGCAGTTTTCAGAAGACGGGGCCTGCTTTTTTTTGCGCCCCTGTTGTATATTTCTGGGATGTTGTTGTATATGGGTTCGTTGAATTTTGATGCTGTTAGTATAAAAAATGGGGTTGTTTTTGTACACAATCGTGCTCCCCCAGGCTCAGTGTATAGAAGTCCACAGGTGTTTGAGAAGCTCTGGCCTTTAATGGAGTCCGAGAGCAATAATGGAAGTGTGAATGCGGTACGGAACATTTCTCTTGTTCATTTTGGCATTTTTCCTTTTGATATTGTCATGACAATTTGGCACAATCTCGTATTTGTGTTTCTGCGTCCATGAGTTTCTGATGATTAATCTAGTTAATCGTTAAGAATGTAAGCGGTCACTGATGACTAGAAGATTTAATATCGGATTTATGTTCTAACTCGTACTGAAACTGTAAGCCACATGTTTTTGGAGTTGTTTTTTATTTTTATTTTTTTGGTTGATGATTTTTGTCGTTGTGAAACGAGGAAGTAACAGACAAAATTCTTTGCTAGGGCGGGGCGAAATTTTCCACATGCTAACGCGTGCTTAAAACATGATGAACTTTGGATATACAAACGCAGGTTGTATAATTTCCAAACGGTCATTTTAACAGAGAGATAATGAATTTATGATGCTACATCTCACGTGTGGAATTCCGAATAGATTGGCCTATCCAAAATATGTCTATAATATCATGGAAAAGGATAATAGGCATAATTTGAAAGTTAAAACATTCTGAGATGGTCATCCAAGGAGATCATTCATGATCAGTCTAGTACTTTGGTTACAAAACGTTACTTGACAAGCTTTACACAGGTTCGGTCATGTGGCATTTTGAAGTACTTAGATGGCAAAATTAGGTGTCAAGATAAGAGGTAGAATTAACTCAAAAAAACTATATGTGGATCAATGGGCTCAAGTCAAGCTAAAGAGCGCATTGGCGGTAAGGTTCATTTGATTGGGCCCAAATACCCAACTTTTGATCCTACCCACCATTTTACTTTTCAGAGGTAGGAAGTTCCTTTAAAAAACTTTGGAAATATACATCTAAAAGAATTTGCTATCAGAAACATGTTGGTTTTGGCGATCCACTTCATTTGCTTCTGAATTAATGTTGATCACTTTTATTGGTCTTGAGGGCATATTTAGATCTTCACTGTTCACCTATTTCTTGTGTCTGTCATGCCCTTGAATACTTCATCCACTGATACCATCACATACATGACTGATTTGAGGGCTGTACTACATCTGTGGTTGTGTGGATGGCCATATAGACTGCTATTGTAATATTACCTTTATTGGCCATTTTGGGGGCCAAAAAAAATGGACAGATTGGGCTCAATCTGCTGAAATGATGTCAATAATGACTAATCTGTTTTTGAATTTAAAAATATTGTCTTTGTAGTTTTGGAGGTTTTCTTGAACTCCCCTTCTGTGTTTAATCGTAGATAGTGAAATATTGGTTGATAGTTTGCTCCTTATATTTATTGATGATTGGAGTTAATTGATGTAAAACCATGAAATGGATATTATGCAGCTGTTCAGAGCATGGAATATGAGGGAAGGGTGGAAGCCTTGTGCTGATAAAAGCGTCATCAAAACAGGTTTTTTTATCTTCAGCATAAATTCCCCTATCCTGGAAACCTGTCTACCTGATAGCTCTAACGAAGTTTTAAAGAAAATTAAATTTATTTCAGATGTGCAATTGTTGTCTTGAAGATTCTTTGAATTCACTGTATTTTGAAAGTGCAGTTGTTATCTCTTAGATCAGGAAGACAGGAACTTGAATAATTTTTTCTGGTCTTGTTAGCTTTTTGAAGGGATTAGCTAACGTCTACTTTTCTGTGATTTTTTTTTTGGTCTTAGAATTGCCAGTGTCAAATGGATTTTTCATAGTTGAAGCAAATGGTGGTTTGAATCAACAACGCCTGTCGGTATGTCAGTTAATGGAATATAATATTTTATTTATTCCTGTGTATTTGTTTGAAGTTGCAAAGCTTAGGATTCCAACATGGGTATGGAATAGGTGGTAGGCAAAACTTAGGGGCTGAAGAAAAATTCACTCTATCCTTGCATTTTTTATTGATATTATTATATTCTGAAATCTGGGATTAACTATAAGATAAACAACCACAGATGAGAAGATAAGTTTGAAAGCAATCTGGAATAAGGCTCCTATCTGCATGATATGACTTGAGGATAAATCCCAAGAGATAATCCTTGATACTTCCTCTAGAGATTATGGTGGCATGGATGGTGATTGTCTTCAATTATCATGTATTTTGGAAATTGATGCCTAACTAGTTACATTTAGGATCTCCATTGAGGATTTTCTGCTTATGTTTCTCCTAGTGCTTGACTACTTGTCATCTTGCTCTGAATTTAATTACGGTGGCAGACTGAAAGTTGAATATCTGGCATTTTCATGAGATTGGATTGATCAAATTTTTTGTATTCTATGCCTGTTTTGTTCTGGCACTTACTAACATCTTTTTTTTCTCAGATATCTGATGCTGTTGCAGTAGCTGGACTACTAAATGCAACTCTTCTTATTCCAATATTTCACTTCAATAGTGTTTGGCGAGACTCGAGGTAATTCTTTTTGTTGACTATATAATAGCAATTGCTAACTTTAACGTGGTGGCTCTTTGATTCTTAATATTTTACAGCTCCTATACATCATTGCTATATCTTTATGTGATTCACTGTTTCTTTGCAACACATAATTCACATATTCAAAACCTGGATTTGTAAGATGGGTCATGTTTCACCATTTTGCATGCTCTATGTCCATTGTTAGATGATTAGCATTGGTGATAGATCTCCCAGAATTTCAATGCATAAAGATTAATGGTTTTATAAAGTTAGGACATTGACGTATGCTTAATCTTAATGTCTGGCAGCAAATTTGGTGACATATTTGATGAGGATTTCTTCATAAGTGCACTTCAAAATCATGTGCATGTGGTGAGACAACTGCCAGAAGACATACTTGGGCGCTTTGACAATAACATAAGTAACATTGTCAATCTTAGAGTTAAAGCTTGGACGAGTCCAGCTCACTATATTCAGAAGGTGCTTCCACAACTTCGAGGAATGGGGTGCGTGCCTTTCTACCTTATTGTGTTTCAGTACAACTGGTCTGGTTTGTTTTCAGTTGTTCAAGACAGAAAGTGGTTTCAGCAATGATACTAAGTTATATGAACTTAGGATGTAAAATGAGATGCCTAACAAACTTTAGGATGGAAATTAAAATCTTTCATTATATGGACAAATTAGAAATGATTTCTGACTTCATCTCTATCCACCTTTTGATGTTTGCAAAGTTTGACCTAGGTAAAACCAAACTTTTTCAGTTTTGTTTTCCTTCTTTTAATATAAGCATGAGCCAGTCACTTTATATTTATTTGTTTGGTGAACTTCTCTGGTCTTTATTGCAGTAGACAATAGCATAATACTAATTTAAGTGTAATAATACGCACTATAAACTAGAATTCTCACCTTGAAATGTTTAAAGAAGGGGTAGCAGAATGGGATACTTAATTGAACTGGTCCTCCCATCGCAATATCTATTTTTTGGGGGAAGGATTCTCCACCAAACTTGGGAGCCTATCAATTAGTATTGAAGTTGGTGGTTTGCAACTTTGGTAAGAGCTACCTGCAGAAGGTATTCTGACCAGCAAAAAAATCAAGCGAAGTGTTGCAAAATATAGTCATTGGAACATTGACTCTATAAGGGTGGCCAGTGGATGGAAATTGAAGTAGGATGGGATACTTGTATCGCACATTAGTTAGTATGACATGTTTTATGAGGTGCTTAAATGGGTTAGTTCTCCATGCCACTTGGGTGCCCTTCAGGGTTGCTATAATTTAAAGTTTGATTTGACGTGTTCTCCTTTTCTTCCAGCAATCCATGTTGCCAAAGAATTACATCATGTCTAATTGCTAGATTCAATTTGTGAATCTTTCAATTTTCATAAGTTTGATAATTAATGTGTATGAAACTGATACATGGGTCTTTTTCTTAGCCAACCTGACATATGGGCATTGGAAACTAAAAAATGTAAATTCTTGAGCGTCCATGTAATTGTTGACTGTATAGGTTTGATTGCGTTTCTCAATTTTCTTGAACAAGTAGGATTGCAGGGGGGATTTTGTGTTACAAGCTAAGTGATACATACTATAATGGTTTCCTAAACGTCCATTCTAACAAAAATATTACAGTTATGGATCTTTCTTTAGACGTTTCTTGTCCTCCATTGTGGTATTGTTGTTGTTGTTATCTTTTTTTGATAAACTTGTTAGCTATTTACCTTGTCAAGCTGTCTGTGGCTCACTAGATGGCTTTACTCGTGCCTTTTTGCAGGGCTGTTCGCATTGCACCTTTCTCCAACAGATTAGCTCAGAATGTGCCTTCGAAAATCCAAGGACTCAGGTGCTTTGCCAATTTTGAAGCTCTTAGATTTTCAGAACCTATAAGAACACTTGCAGAAAGCATGGTAGATCGGATGGTCAAATATAGCTCCCAAAGTGAAGGGAAATATGTTTCTGTGCATCTTCGATTTGAAGAGGTTCTAGTCTAATATATTTGTATTACTTTCATTTGTCGAGTTATATCTTAAATTATTATTGATTGTTTATCCCTCTACAAAGGATATGGTTGCATTTTCATGTTGTGAGTATGATGGGGGGGAGGAAGAGAAGCGTGAAATGGATATTGCTAGGGAAAGGAGTTGGCGGGGTAAATTCAGGAGAAAGAATAAAGTAATCAAGCCTGGTGCAAACCGAATAAATGGAAAATGCCCAATGACTCCTTTGGAGGTATATGGTTTAAAGAATTTTCCTTTTCTTTGATTTCTTCCCCCCTTTTAATTTTTCCTTATCTTTGCTGAATATTTTGAAAGCTTAATAACCTATGAGGTTTCTTGTTTTTGTGCTATCGATGCATCTTATTTGTTGTTTACATTGGCAGTTGTACTGATTACTCTATTGGAAACCATAACCTAAGAAATTTAATTGGATACCCTGCTATATGTAATTCCCATGCTTGTTAATTATTCAATAGAATTACCACGAACTCAGTTATTAAAATGTTTTGTTGTCATTCTAATTGTTTGGCAATTTGGGATTTGGAAAAATCCTATGAATTTATTTATGAACAGTGAGGTTATAGATATGTATTTCTTTTTAAGTAATGGATTCACTGGTTTGGTTTACAGAAAATTCTTCAATCTATGCGTGTGAAATGCTCCCGTTTGAAAACAGAAGACAAAAAAGCTAAGCTTGGGCGACCTTAAAAAGAAAAATCAAAGTGGGATTAGAAATAAAAATATGTTTACTTAAAAGCAAGTCTATCTTTTGTTCTTTTGGCTAAGATTGGACATTCCAACCTCTCTAGATTTTTACAAACGGGGAAAAATAAAATTCTACTTAAAATTAGTTTACAAAAAAAAAAACCTTATCTTCAATTTTCTTGACTAAGTCAAGAACAATAAAACTCTCTAATCTCTCTGGATTTTTGTACATGGGCTTTTACGATTGGGCGTGTGTTATATTTTTCTTCAAGAACTAGACTTCCAGTAAGATGTACTGCACACTGAAATCCCCTTCGTCTTATAGCACTTACATAAGTGGATGATTTCTCTGTTTCTTCCTTTTTTTAGATTTTCACAATTCAACATTATTTTTTATGTTTTAGGTTGGGATGATGCTCAGGGGCATGGGTTTTGATAATACCACCACAGTATATGTTGCAGCAGGAAAGATTTATAAAGAACAAAAGTTTATGGCGCCCCTTAAACAAATGTTTCCACTATTGCAAACCAAGGATACACTAGCTACTCCAGAAGAGCTTGCTTCATTCATGGTATTGAGTAATTGGACTGAATATGCTTATGTGAAACCCTAATAGAGGAGTCCCACGTGGTTTGGCCCAAAATCAGTTGTACTCTTTGAGTTTAAAATGTGTCTTCTTCCCATCATTTTTTCCATTTCCTTTTATGGTTTTGATCTTCATTTTTTATTGGAATCGTCAATTGATTGTTAAATAATGAATAATTTGGTTTTGTATATCACTTATAATTATAATTTTGACAATTTCATAATGTGTCAACCCTTTTATTTGGTATTAAGCTTATATTTAGATGTTAAAAATGTCCATTAATCCCAGTAATAATCTCAGGAACTGCATAAAGTGTCAAGGTGTATCATGCTTTCAAATAATGAAGGTATTCCTTGTTTAACATTTTGTTAAAGTGAGACTGTATTGTTGGTTAGTTCATTGAAATGGAATGAATTGTGATGTTGAATACTTTAAACCACAAGGGGCAAATTGGTTTGGGGCCAATCCACAAGAGGGTAAACTATATTTTACTGAAGAATGTTGGCGGGAGCAAGTAAATTATTTTAACTTGTGTTTCCGGTTTAGGGCCACTCATCTAGGTTGGCTGCACTTGATTACACGGTTTGCCTTCATAGTGAAGTCTTTGTTACAACTCAGGGTGGAAACTTTCCACACTTCTTGATGGGTCACAGGCGATATCTGTTTGGAGGGCATGCAAAAACAATTAAACCGGATAAGAGAAAATTGGCTCTATTATTAGATAATTCCAACATAAGGTACAGTTTCGTTTCTCTTTCCTGATCTTCATCTACTTTACGACTGCTTTTCATTCATCACGGTAAAGAATATTTTTGTGTAGAGAACGATAAATGTATACTTTATAGGTAAACTATTATACCTGTCATTCCAAGGTTATGTGATTGATTGCATATAGACATAATAGATTCAGCTGTATTTGAAACATCCGGGTGTTTTGGTCCTATTTGAGCAGGAAAAAAAAACAAAATAGCCAGAAGCCCAGAATCCCATATATTAGTTTAAATTTTACCTCTTGGATAATTGGTGGGTAGCTGTACTTGGAATGCACTTTTTACAGGACAATAAAGAAAGGGGGAGAAAATAGAGAGGGAGGGAGGAATAACAGAAAGATCTGAAGAAGGACTGAGAAACAAGAGGAATCTTAGAGGGAAGGGAAAGGAGGGGAGGAACAGATAGCATGAGAGTGAGAACAGAGTTCTGAATAAACATTTTCTTCTTTTTTTTTTTGAATAAAAGGCCACGGGTAAACCGTGCTATGTGATATGATGTGTCATATAAGCGTATAGGAAATTTATACAACCAAGAGGCGGAGTTTTGAATAAACATTTTCTTCTTGAATCCAAGTCCTCTTGGTAAGGGCTCTATATTGAAGCCCAATAGTTCCTAATAATTTAAAATAAAAACTCTTGGCCAAAAAAATAAAAATAAAACAAAAACAATTTAAATAAATGAAAATATTTTGAAATATTAGTTTTAAGGAGAAATTAATTATTAGATCCTTATAGTTCTAACTCAGTTAAAACTCAATTGCTGAATTTTGACTTAATGCAATTCAGTCCTTATATTTTTGACTTGGTTAAACCACAGTCCCTAAACTTCGACTCTCGTAACTCAGTCCCTTTAGTTTTATTTATTTAAAATGTTGGTCTCTACATTTTAGAAGACAAAATTATCAAGTATAAAATCCTGGTGATGTGACTTTCAGGCATAGGCCTATTTGGATCCATGCACTGCGAAAGGAGTGGTCACTGCCTGATTTGGTGGTCAGATTTGTGAGATCTAGTATTGGCAGTGGCACTTGTACAGTTCCCATGACTTTTTGGCTAAATTTGGGAATGAGAGACAACAAAAGTAGTGGTTGGAGCGCAACCCAACGTTTATTAAAATCCTCATCATTGAAATGCATTCTTTATTGTTACTTCGTTATAATAATTGAGCTTAGAAACAACCGATTTTAAAAGGAAATATTCAAAACACGTTTTTAAAAGCTAGTAAGGAACTCCTGAACCCTATCATCTAAGCTGCTAGCAATGCTATTGATTAGGTGCGTTTTTGGGTGCTCATCATTCATCAAGAATTCAAGAGCGTTGGTACTTAGTGATGGATTATTTTTTTACCCACATTTATCGTATGACAGATTTTTCTTATGATTTTTTTTTTTGGGTATAATCTTTAAGGACAATTACATCTGCATATGGATCCTTTTGTTAAAATATTTTCCTAATTGACTGAAAAGTAACTTTGAAAAACACTGATGAAAATGAACAAAATAAGCTTTTTGGCTGAGTGAAAATATTTTGCTCATCTAGCATTTGCATGCTTTTTGTATAATTCGTTATATATATTTTCCCCCTTTGCTAGATTCATTCCTGATGTATTATTAGGTTCTGTCCCCCTCATATACTTTGGTGGTACAAGTTCAAAAATTTAATTATTACTGATACTGATTCTGCAGTTGGAGGGTATTTAAGCAGCAAATGAAAGATATGCTTCGCCGTAGTGATCAAAAGGGAATTGAGTTGAAAAAGCCAGGTGGTTCACTCTACAATTTTCCTATGCCAGATTGCATGTGTAAACAGGCAGCAGAAGCGAGGAATGAAAGTGTCAACGCACGGGCATAGAAGAAACTGAGGAAATAAGACAGTCGTCCTTATGAATACGAATCTTTCATTACCTGTAAGGCTGTAATTTATTTTATATATTTAAGCAGTGAAATTACGGAAACATTCTTTAAGTTAGGCAAAGCTAATAGGTTTTGATTCCCTCTCTGTTATTTAGCTTCTGATTCATTGGTGAAAATTAACAGTTCAAATCTCATTTCATTGTACATTATGATAATTGTAGATGGACAGACTTTTACCCTGTTATCACGATTCATTCTTTGGTGACGAGTGATGGTTGTTTAAACTTGATTTAGTGGAAGTGAATCATTTAGCATGTGCTGTTTCTATCTTGTAATCTTGTTTAGTTTGTTCTAAATTAGTAGATGCTGGTAAAAAATCATGGATATTTCAAGGGAGACGTTTCTGTGCTCAGCAAAAGGAGAAAATTATTCTTTAGCCTCTGGATTGTAATTTTCCTTGTGATTCCTTCTTGGTTTAATTAGATTTAGGCATATGTTACATTGTCATTTTGGTTATAGTTTATAGGATGTCCCCAATATCTTTCGAAAAAAACGAGTCTTCTCTGGCATCTACATTTAATTTTTGCACTTATCATCTGTATGCTTGTGTGGTAAGCATAAATATTAAACAATTAACTTTATTCTACTAAGTAGGGTCAACTGTATGGATTACTCATCATTCTTGTAATCTATCAATAATCAAGCATTTGAATATATCATTAGTCAAAAGTAATTGTTCAATAATTTTTTTTTGAATATTCTGTCTTTTACACTTTTTTTACAATCTTTAAGACACTTTTACTGTCCTCACTGATACAATGGTGGATCCCTTTGGTGCAGCATGAATTTTCCCTTGAAAAAAAGTCTCATTAAATTTCAGCCCCCCATCTTTTTCCATTTTAAGTTTTGGTCCCAGTCGCGACGACTCTTGATGGCAGGATCGGTACTGTCACTCATTGGTGTGTAAAGTTGGTGTTGGAGGTAATGTCGTCTAATTATATTGTTGTCATCATACCTAACGTTAATCATCAGCTTTGACTCCTTTTTTCTGAACAACAGTGAACATGAGACTGCAAGTAAATGGGTTTCCATGTTCCTTAGAAAGCTTGGGGAATATCTTTTTTTAACAAGATATTTGAGATATTTTTTATATAAATTATGAAAAGTTAATATATTATTTTATTTATTAAAAAGTATTCTAACTTTTCAATATTAATTAAAATAAAAATAGTTATTGTCATGAAAATTATGTTTTGAAACAAATGCAATTAGCTTAACTAATTATTTAAATAACAAGAAATTGCATTGTAATGACACGTGGTAATAAAAACCAAGAACATTTATGGGATGATAAGGACGTGCTGTTGAGGATAATCTCTCCCTCGCTTACGTTGTTTTTAAAGATTTTGGTTAAAAAGTGTTTGATAATCATAATATTTGACCCACACGAGACAGCAGAACCTCCTCCCGATGTCCCCTGACACCACTGCCCTGCTTGCCAGTCTGCCAACACTTTTTCTGTCTCTTGTCATTTTCCTTAATTTTTTCAAAGAATATATTTTTGCTTTTCAAAATCCTATTAATTCAAATTTAGTTGAGTCTTAATTAAAAAAAAAAGGAGCTGTTTTCCTTTTAAAAAAGAAGTAATGTATTTAAATTATAAAGTGTACAAAAAATATTTAAGTTATAGAATAAGCCTCCCAAAAATAAAGAGAAAAACTAAATCTAAAAAAAAAAAAGTCATCCTAAATATCTTGAAGGATTAAAAGTTAAAATGAGACAAGTAAGAGTTGAGTTGAAAATCTTTTTAACAATAAAAATTTAAGAGAGAACCATAAAAATTCACCTTCTGTCAAAAGTCTCACACAACTTTTTAAATTAATCTTTTAATTTTATAATTTTATTGTGATAAATTTATAACTTATTTTTTAAATTTTAATATGATTTAATAAATTTATTTTTTATTAAAATTTAAAACATAATTTATTATAATAAAATTATAAAATTAAGAGTCAAACTTACAACTTTCTTAAGTTTAGGACTTAAGATCTAAGTTGAATTCATTAAAAATTTTTCTATCATTTTTCCTATTTAATACTCACATTAAAGACTTCGATTCAAACCTAAAAACTTTTGATTGAACTAGACTAATTTTTAGCATTTTCTTGCTTTAGTCTTTTTTTAATTAATAAGCATAATAGATCCCTAAACTCTTAAAATAAAAAAAAACTTCTTTTTATTTTTAAATTTTGAGTGCTTGAAGCTCTTCCATTAAGTTGAAAAAAATGACTATTATTTTTAAAAGTTAAGATGAATGTCATATCAAGATATAATCTAGTTCTACAACTACAAAATGATAGTTTTCTCTAACTTAATGGTGAAATTTTAAATGTTCAAAATTTAAAAGTTGAGGAGAGTTTTTGCATATTTTAAAAGTTCAGAATTTAAAATATTATTCGCATAATAATTAAGAATTTAGAATGCTCTTTAACTTTTTTTTTTTTGCTTGATGCATGTATGCTTATAAACTTTTATACGTAAGGTCAAAAAATAAAATTTTATACACATTGCAATATAAATAAATTATAAATAATATAATCCTGTTAGTCTCTTTAGTTTATTATTATTTGTCACTTGTACTCTCTTTGTTAAAAAATATAAGGTATTTTTTGAGGAGTTACATGTTCAAAAATATAAGGTATATTTAATTTTTTGAGGTGTAATTATTACTTTTTGTCAAAATTACCCTTATTGATAAATAACTTTATATTTATTGTAGGGTGTTTAATAAAGGTAAATATAAAAAGATAGGATTAGTTTGAAAGTAATTAACTACTTTTATTGGGGGTGAAATTCGGTTAAAAATGTTTTATATTTTTGAACGGATAGAGTATTTTTTGATAACATCCTCAATTTTAAATCTAGATTAATTAAGCTTAAATAGATTAGTAAAATGAATCTTTGAGGTGTGTGGCCAGAGAGGTGTAACAGGCATGTTTGGTCTCGATTTCAACACTAAACGCGGGTCTGAAGGAGAATCGGGTCACTTGAGAATAGAAGAGGAAGAATTTTTGAAAGGATTGATTTTGTGTCACGGGCCGCGGCGTGGGGTTGGTCCGCTGTGGCGCATGCGTGACAACGCACTTGGAGGAAGCTCTCTGTGCCATGCACTGTGGCGCATTGTGCGTCTGTCGCGGCGTATGGCCAGAATTTTGTAGTATTAAGTCGTGAATTTGAAGTAAAAAAGAAGAGGAAACAAAAGAGAATGAGAGAGCAGTGAAAAAGCTAAGTTAGGGCTTGAAGAACTGACTATTGAAAGTAATTTAAAACTCATAAACACCCAAGGTAAGCTTTCTTGTTTAAATTTTCATCTCTTCTTCCATTTTCTTAATGGTAGAGGTTAGGGTTTGATTGCTAATGGTGATTTTTGGTTCCTAGAAGTTATTGGCTTGAACCCATTGACTTAAATAGAGCTAATAGGGATAGTTTAAACTAGGTAAACTTAATATTTATGGTTTTATGATAATTGATGATTGAAGGACATTAAGTATCTAAAATTTTCATAAATTTGGTGGTTGGAAATAATGTGACTTCATTAATGCCCATTTAAGAGTTCAATGTTATAAATGAGAGTTATAAGAAGTTAAGAGACCTTATGGGTACTTCTACATGAGTTTAAAGTAAATATTGAGTATTAAGAAATGATGAAATGCTAGTGAAAAATAGCTCAAAATGGATATTGATATTTTGCATGGTAAATGCTTGTAGTGTAATTATCATTGGCATCATTCAAGCTTCTTGGAAGCTTCGAGAGTAAATAGTTGAGGGGTGAAATCTTTGACCTCTCAAAGGTTTAAGGTAATAGGGGAAATTCTATCATATACTTGTGTGTGACTATTAGTTTATTGATTTATGAATTATCATTTGAAATTCATAAAATAAAAGAAATGCAAGTGTGGATTAAGTTGTAAAGAAATCTATTAGGTCAAATTTATGAGTTTTGTGCCTTATGATGCAAAATTTTTCCTTGAAGACAATAGTGGTGGGTTGTCATATTAATGTTCATTGGGAGTGCAATGATTTCTACAAATTGAGAAGCAAAATGAATCTTTATTTAGAAGGAGTTCAATGATGTTTGAAAATAGGAAAGTTCAATGATTTTAAAAGTGTGATGTACAATGAAAATAAGGAAGTTCAATGATTTTGAAAGTGTGAGGTACGATAATTGTGAATTGAGAGTTCAACGACTTGTTTGGTTTTAAAGTTCCATGAAATGTGTAATGATGAAGTTCAATGAAAGGTTATAATGTGAAGTTTTATGAATTGTATATGTGTGAATTATCACATGAATGTCCATTACATGATCTAGAGAGGCGGGAGTTTGCTTAGAAAGTGGAGTAAATAATAAATCCATGTGGTAAGGCCCCATCCATGTGATGAATTGCCTAGATTGATTCTATTCATATTGTCTCACTTGTTCAATAAGAGACTATCTCACTTGTTCAACCAGGGACTTGAACCTAGTTAGCTATCTATCGGTTTAATAAGGAAGTTAGTTTAGGGTGTACGACACCCCATGTTGTAAGAAATGGGAAAAACCGTGATCCATAAGTGAGATGGGTACACCTTGGTTGGGTAATCCCCTCATGAGTGTTTAGGCTAGGGAAGTCAAGAAACATAAACTATCTCATTGAGTTATAGCTCATGATTTGGTGTCAGAGGAATAAGGAGGATATAAGGAAAGTGTAATCATGCATATAGTGAAAAAAGGCACTTATTGTCTATATTGAGTCCATAATGTGGATATGTTGAGTTGAGTAATAATTATTACTATTAGATATATGAAAGATACTAAAAGCATTGTTTTTCCAAGTGAATGCCATTATGTGACCTAAGTTGTGAATTCCTATTTCAAATGTTTCTTATGGGTTAAAGTAATAATATTTACTACCATTTGCATTTAAACTAATTATTATGCATTAGTATGGGCTAGTCGGACCTTGGTTACTGAGTAGTTGTACTCACCTCGTTATCTTCAATATTTCAGAGAATAGCTCAAGAAGTGGAGATAGAGGAAAACAACTCGAGACTTAGGATCATGATCCATTTGTAATAGGCCTCTTTATTTTGGGTAATTTATGTGCATGACAATTTTGATTGCCAACTAGGATTTCCTTTTTTGTTACTTACTTGGATTAAGTGAAGTATAAATTGTAATTGTATTTTAGGCCCTAGGGAGAGAGTTGATTATTATGTGTTATGTTGATAGGACCAAAATACTAATGCAAGTGAGGGTAATGAGTATTATGTGATGATCTAAAAAATCTTGATGAAAATTTATGGCAACTCTCCCCACTTAAGTTTTTGGGTTAAGGGGTTGAGTAGTGAAACTTTGATCTTGAATCATTTTTTGTGTTATGGTGCATTGCACGAGTTAATTTTGATGAGTTATTTGTGGTCCTTGGTTTTGATTAGGACACTTGAAATTTGTGAAATTTGTTGTAATAGTGTAGGTTTTGAAAAGGGTATCCAATTTTTGTTTTAAAAAGAATTTGAACCTGAGACCAATGCCATTAGTTAGAGTTTGAAAAGAGCTTTTTGTAGACTCCTAGTTCATGTCATTTGGACGTCGGATGGAAGTTGGCCCTAAAGATGTCAAATTAATAGTAAAACTCACTGTCAAAATTTATGCATTTACACCGTGGCACATGGCGTCATAAGCTGTGGCACGTGTCACAAAGGCGAACACGCCGCAACGCATGTTCAACAAACTGCGGCGCACACCTTAAAATTTTTTAGAATTTTTCTTTTTTAGATTTCTGCACCAATGCATTCACTTATATGATAATCTTTTATTTTCGTGTATTTGCGAACTTTGATTTGCCTATGTGCAAGACTTGACTTGACTTTAGATTTATAATCTTGGGACCCCCATTTTGTTAACCAATGAAAATTCTGTATTTGATGATTACTATTGTCTTATTTTCCTAATTACTTGGGATTTGAGTTTTAATTATGGAATAAAAGGAGGAGAATATTACATTTTTTATCTTATTCTTTAAGTTTTAAGAAAATTTAGATAAATATATCTATGACCTATATAGTTAATTTTATATACTTAATATATTTTATTAAATTAAATTAAGAAAAGTAAATTTTAATGTATTAATTATATTGATAACAAAAATTTATTATAAAAGAAATACTCATTCTGTTAAAAAATATAAAGCATTTTTTGACGAGTCTGATGTTAAAAAATGTAAAGTATTTTTAGTTTTTTGAAGTGTAATCATCGCCTTTTTTTTTCAAAAGTGACTCTATTGATAATGAGTTTATATTTATTATAAGATATTTAATAGTAGTAAATATGAAAAGATAGGATTAGTTGAAAAATAAGTAACTACTTTATTAGGGGGTGAGATTCGATTAAAAATGTCTTTCATTTTTAAACAGAGAGAGTAATATTTAAAAAATTTATATGTTTCGATTCAATTAAAAACAAGCACTTTAAGCATACGAGGTTAATTATATAAGATTTTTCCTATCTTTAATTTTAATTTTAAACTCACATCTTTATTTGACAAAAAAAATTCACATCATTAACGGATGAGTTTATCAATTTAATGTTTATCTATATGAGAAAAATTGTAAAAAAATAATAAAAATATAAAAATTATACTATTTATAAATTATAGACTACAAAAGATATACTCCACTCATTCAAAAAATATAAAATATTTTTAATTAAATTTTATTTCTTAATAAAATAATTACCTATTTTCAAAATAATCATATCTTTTATATTTATTCCTATTAAATATTTAATAATAAATATAAAATCATTCATTAATAGGGACACTTTTAAAAAAAATAAATGATTATACTTTAAAAAAATTAAAAATATCTTATTTTTTTAAACATATAATTTCTTAAAAAATGTCATATATTTTTAGATGGAGGGAATATTGCTTTAATTTTTTTAATTTTATTTTTAACTTTTTATATCTTCAACCATGTACTTGTTTTATTTCTTCAGGCCCCGTTTGGTATGATGGAATAGTTGTTGATGGAATTAGAATTGGAATTGGAATCAGAATTGGAATCAGAATTGGAATAGAATTGAATTATAAAAGTATGTTTGGTATGTCAGAAAAATTAGATGGAATCCTTGCATTACTTTTGTTTGGTATGCAAGACATGGAAATGAAATTATACTTAAAAGACAAAAATACCCCTATATAAAAATTAAAATAAAACATAATAAAAACTTAATTGTGTACCAATTTTCTTATGTATTTTATATATTAATGAAATATTATATAAATCATAGATTATATCTGTAACTATTATTCACTAGCTTAGGCCAAACAAAAAGTTTTATCATCAGAGGAACATTTTCTTGAAAATAAAATTGGCAATGGTTCCCATCCCTTCTACTTTAAAATAAATACACTAACATGTAGATTTAGAAGAAAAATGTCAAACAAATCAATTCTACTTCTTATACCAAAAAAATATTATAAATATATAAATTATATACAAATATTATATATAATACTATCTTATATATATATATTATAACGCTTTATATATAATGAGAAAAAAATATTATTCACCCTTTTATACTCCCTTTTTCTTTTTTTTTTTGTTAGCATATGAGGGTTTTATTTTTTTTTTTGAGGGCAAATTTGTCTTTCTGGAATTTGTATGAGGGCAAAAGTGTCTTAAATATTACAATTCCATAGAATTGCTCCCAATTCCATAGATTTACATAAGGAATCAAAATTAGCTTTTTTCCATAGAATTAGGATTCCCAGGAATTATAATTCATATTTACCAAACATCACTTTATTCAGATTCCTATCCCAATTCCATTTCCATCTTCACAATTCCAACCTATCAAATATGGCCTCAGTTCAATCCCCTCCTCACCCTCCCCCCTCTTTTTTGGTTCGCCACGATTTGTTTTTCTTTTTGTTTTTTTTTGAACAATTCTTCCGCATTCATTTCCTCCGCCAGGCAAAGCTACTGAAGAAGCCGCATCACCTTCCCGCGCTTTCAGAGATTGACTCTGCTCGGACGAACTGATGCAGACGACATTGCTTCGCTTTTCTTCTTCCGCCCACATTCCCTCCACCGTGGCTACCTCCTCGCTTTCTCTTCTTCTCTCCAAGAACCCCTCTCCCCACTTGTTCTCTCTTTCTTCTCTCACACACTGTTTCACACATTTTCACACCATGCCTTCTTCCGTACGGTTTTCTCATTCCCTGGTTTTATCGCTGTCCAAGAAGCCCTTCACTGTGAACTCTTCTATTTCGTCTCGCTACTTCTCTACTTTGGCGGGTTCAACAAGTTTTGGTGCTTGTAGATGTGTGGTTGATGATATGAGTCACATGACGCAAGCAAAAGCATGGGTTTTGCTTAGGAATGGTATGAATGGGACACGAGCTTGGTCTTCTCTTACTTCTGCTGTTGGCGAGGGTACGGGAAGTTCAGAGAAGTGTGTTAGTGGAGATATTGGTGAAGTGAGTAGTGGGTCAGTGGCTTCTGAGGAGAAGTCCTTGAGATTAAATAGGCGACCAAAGGATTTGTCTAGCTTCTCTGATGTTCCTTTGAATCCTGATTTATTGACTATTCCAGGTGTGGGTCCGAGAAATTTGAGAAAGCTTGTAAGGAAAGGGATAGCTGGGGTTGTTGAACTCAAGAAACTTTACAAAGATAAGGTATAGGTTTGTCTGTGTTGGTGTCATTGTGCTTTGTACATTGCTAGTGCTTGATACTTTGTTGCTGCAGCCTGATTGCTGTACATCACTGGATGTCTCCTCTCTTGCAATGACATATCATGCCTGAATGGACTTGCTGCTTTATTATGTCGTATTTCAGATATATATGAGCTTTGTTTAGCATTTTCAGTATAATGATTTAACTTCCAAGTTCCAAAATCATTTCTAATTCAAGCGATTTTGAAAACCCTAACTTATTTCATCGACTGGCGTGTAATTAAGTTCAGTTATCTTATTATAATGGTCAAGATTGTCTAAGATCCTTTCATTCTAAAAGCATGAGGAATGGATTTATTACTTATAAGAAATAGGAATGATGTTCAATACACATGGCACATTTGATTTTTCTGTACTTTAGTTTGCCTATGAAGACTCAAGTGCTTTTGGCAATCTAAACATTGCTTGTAGCCAGCTTGCACCTACTTCTTAGTTCCTTGGCTGTTCATCAAGTTGGATTGCAATGAAAGAAGGGTAGCAGCATTGGCATCGTGTAAAAAGAAAAATTATTGTACCTTAGATGTGACATGATTTCATTTCTTTTGAGCTTAAGGTTAAGTTTTCACTTGGGTCCCTTTTTGCAGTTCTTCGGAAAATCTAGTGATAAAATGGTTGAATATCTTCAGAGTTCTGTGGGAATCATCCATAGGAACCATGCTGAAAGTATAACTACCTACATCAAAAGGAGCGTGGATGAAGAGTTGGATGACGCCTTCTCCATTCAGCTGCCACACAAGAGACAGATTACATTCTGTGTTGAGGGCAATATCAGTGTGGGGAAGACTACTTTCCTTCAGAGAATAGCTAATGAAACAATCGAATTGCGTGACCTTGTTGAGGTGGTTCCTGAACCCATTAACAAGTGGCAGGATGTTGGAGCTGATCACTTCAATATTTTGGATGCTTTCTATGCTGAGCCACAACGGTATGCTTACACCTTTCAGAACTATGTATTTGTTACCAGGGTTATGCAGGAAAGAGAGTCATCTGGTGGAATGAAGCCTCTTCGATTAATGGAGAGGAGTGTTTTTAGTGACAGGATGGTGAGTCAAAGCTTTCGCTCCTTCTTTTCTAGAAAGTGGGTGTTAAATTACCTTTATTAACAGGGCTTATCCTGAACTCATTTTTTTAATTTTTTTTTGTTTGCTTCCTTTTTTTGGTGGAGCTATTTCAAAGGTTTCTTACCCTCACATTTTAGACATTTTATCAGAACAACTGTAAACATCTGCTTTAAACATGTTTTGCTTTGAGTCAAGTAATTGCAAGTGATGGGTTTGGAAGCACGTGTTTTTTTCCTTTTTTTTTTGTTTTTCCAATTCAATAGCAGGAAAAGAAAATCCTGATTTGAGAGTTTAAACACTAATATATTATTATGACACCATGATTGTTCCAAAAAGGTCTTTGTTCGAGCTGTTCATGAGGCTAATTGGATGAATGAGATGGAGATTAGTATTTACGACTCCTGGTTTGATCCTGTTGTGTCCTGCTTGCCTGGACTTATTCCTGATGGTTTTATCTATCTTAGAGCAAGTCCAGATACTTGCCATAAGAGAATGAAGTTGAGGAGGAGGGCGGAGGAAGGTGGAATCACGTTGGAATATCTCCATGACCTCCATGAAAAGCATGAAAGCTGGTTATACCCCTTCCGAAGTGGTAATCGTGAAGTGTTATCTGTGAGTAGGTTGCCTTTGCATGTTGACAACTCCTTACATCCTGCAATAAGGGAGCGCGTATTTTATCTGGAGGGTGATCGTATGCATTCAAGCATTGAGAAGGTATTATCTTTTTGGCCTCCATGTGTGAACTTTGTTATCTGTTTCTCACTATACTATGGCTTAAGAATTTTGATAATAAGCAGGTTCCTGCATTAGTTCTGGACTGTGAACCCAATATTGATTTCAGCAAAGACATTGAAGCAAAGAGACAGTAAGCTCTCTATCTCTTACTCAGATATCGTAGCATTGAACATGGACTAAACTTGGTTCTGTGAGATATTTGCTTACCCATGTGACTTTTCTATTGCTTTTGATTATTCCTTGTTTAGGTTGGGCTAATTAAAGTTGCAAATTGGGCGTTCTAAGGCTCATGGTAAAACACTGGTTTGATAAATAATGAGGCTTGCAAAACAATGTTGGCCTTCTGCTCCATTAACAATACGGAAACAATACAGATAAGTGGCAAAACTGTATGCCAGTCCATGTAATCTGTAATAAAGGGTAGTTATTCATCTTGATATTATATCCTTTATCTCGTAATAAGTTTTTTTAGTTCAGTTTTGCAATCTATTCAATGGGAGGCAATTTTACTGCCGCCAGCAGAGATAGAAACAAGAATTCGAATGGGAAACATGATCCATTTGCACCCTTGTAAAGCCATAATCCATTTGTTTTTAACTTTTTGCAGCATTATTGAATAGATCCTTACTTATGTAATGTTATCTCTTTTTTTCTTCTTTTACATTCTACATATTGAACAATTTGTGCATGAAACTATAAGGTTAAGCAGCAAATACGTTTGTGTTAAGTTTCTTGCTAATGGTGTGGTTTATCTGTGATATTTGTTGAGGGAGGAATTCCTTGGCAGCAATTAGATGGGATTTTTGCTTCAATTTAAATCTCACTGTACAGTCATTAATCATTAGTCTGGGAATTAAACACAATGCAGGTAGTATATGCCTTTTATCTTGCGTATCATTGAACTACTTTATCCTGTGCTATTCTGTTGCAGAAAGCATGCTTATTCTTGAATTGATTGCAAGAAGGCCGCATATATTTTGTATCACACAAAGGATAATATATCTTGCGTTACCTACTGATACTGTCCTAAAACTTAAAATCATGTGGTCTAGTATTATTGAATATTCTTTCTGACTGTTTCTTAGGCCCTTCATCTAATGCTTGTTAGACATTGCATGTCCTATCATGTTTATGGCCTTACTTCACTGGACACAGAAGAAAACTATTGCATACTGCAAGGTTTTGACTGTTATAGTACACAACTCTCCTTGACATTACAAAATATAAGTTATCCAGTTCTTTGTTTTTTTCTGCATATCAAGTTGATGTCATTCCTCATTTTCCAATCTGTTGGACTGGGAGTTTTCACCATTTCTTTAAATAGCTTAGTAATTGGAATTAGAACCTAGGTAAACAGTGTCATTGTATTTTGTTGATTATTAGAACTCTTGGTTTTTTGGTATGACATTTTTACTGTATCGTTGCTGAAACAAACATGCAAGAACATTTTTGTGTCTATCATAACCTAACACATTTGAAATATTATATTTTGGTGCTGGTATAGTTACGCCCATCAAGTGGCAGAGTTCTTTGAATTTGTGAAGAAGAAGAAAGAAGATCCATTGAATGAAGCTGGGCAAGGTGGGAGACACAGCCAGCCACAAATGCTGCAACCCCGTAAAAGTGGGCTGTGGCTACCAGGCCAAAACCATTTTCCTTCTCCGGCCCTGAATCCATTGGACTTCCGGCAAGCTATGCCGGTTTTGTCTAGCTAGTTTGTCATGAAGCAGACAAGTGAGGGCACTGAATATTCAGCTTCCTTCAACATGTCGGTGATCTTCTAATGTTTCCCAAATGTACGGGGGCATGTTTTCCTTCCATGTAAACATGTTATCGTCTGACTCTTACTGATGTAGATATAGTTGTCAGTTGAATGCTTGTTAACACCATGCTAGAACGCTTCTTAGGTGTAGGTTATATTTTCCTTGGTTGGAAAGTTTACTGAGTTTGGCAGGTGTTAGTTACTCTTCCTCCTGTCTCTTGGGAACTTTAATAGGCATGTTTTGTAGTAGAAAAATGTATTTTAGAAAGAAAATAAGAGATGTACCTAGAAAAAAAATGATAGGTACATTTTTCATTTCCTTTTTAGAAAATATTTTTCTACAGTAAAAGGAAATACTATGACTTAGCTTTGTTCCTTTAATGTTAATCCCCCCCCCCAAAGAAAAAAAAAAATACAAGTTGATGTTCGTTTCCTTTGTCTGTCTGTTATGCTCTAGTGTGTATTTGGTTTTCACTTTGTCAAAAGTCAGTTTAATAAAAGTTCATTTGATAAAAGTCAGTTTGGTGAAAGTTAATTATTGTAATAAAATTTATGTTTGAATACATTTTTTGAAAAGTCAGTTTGGCAAATTAAAAATTATTTGGATTAATAAAAATTTGTGTTTTTAAAATGTATTTTTTAATATGCAATAACAAAAAAGGACATTGATTTATAATAATTTATAATTTTTATTATACAAATATAATATGTTAAAAATGTTTACAAAATGGACTTATTTTGTTTTTATAGATAATACAATTGTTAAAACTTTATATTGTTTAAAATTAAACACAAAAAAATCAAAATACAATTTAAAACAATTATAAAAATGAATGGTTAAATGACTGTATAGTTAATTATTGGGAGTATTGAAAATAAGAAAATAATTCATTTTATTAGAAAAAAGTAGTCGTCCCGTATTGGCCTCAACCACTTTAGCTCTTGCCACGACAAACTGTTTGACCCTCTTCTGTCGCCTGTGCCAACTTCCCCTCCGGTGAGCCCCAGGCTTTTTCTCATCTCAACTTGTCGAGTCAGTCTTTCCCTTGCACCCTCGATATCTCCCAAAATTTAGTGTGCCGATGCTATCCTCCTCGCAAACCCTTCAGCTTAGCGAACTTGACCAACAAAGTCACGGGGCCCTGTACGGCGGCGAGCCACCTCGTACCTATAATTGTCGACCACGTCTTCAATTTGATGAGCTATTTCCCTCACGTTACTGACCCAGTCCTTCACCATGTTGCTCGTGTTTTTATGAGCAATTGAGGAAAAACGGTGGAGCGACGGAGGAGCGATAGACAAGCGATGGATGACAATGATGAGAAGCAGCAGAATGAGAGAGAGGCCAGCCTCGATTGCACGAGAAGAGGGAAAAATATGAGAGTATCGTGGTCATTTACAATATTAGGTACCAATCATCATGCCAGATTTACGTTTGAAAAGCTACCAAAAGGAGCTTCTCGTTTTTCCTGTTTCAGACCCGTCAAAAGCACATTTCATCTGAAAAATATATCACGAACAACACTCCACATTTCAAAAGTTAAAAATCACATTTGGAATGTGAAATGTGAACCACCCAAATGCACCCTTAATCTCTTTACTTTTTGCGACACAAAATTGCGTTCTTATCCTTCAAAATGTTTCGTTTGTACTGTTGATATTTTGAGATGACTAATTATACTATTAATCTTTATATGTATGTATTTTTGTAATTTTTAAAGCACGAGATGTAGTTAAACTTTATTTGCTATTCACCATTAAGAATGATTTGATGGGGGTATAACTTGTGTAGCTGACAAATCACATGAAAAAGTGATAGCGTTAACGAGGTAAATATAAATACTTAAGAATAATTAGCTTTTGCATTTTTACCTTAAAAAAAAGCATAAATTTAAACTAATTGACCAGTAATTACATTTTTTCTTTTTTTTTTAGAATAACTTCATTTGAGTTGAACTGAACCAACAAAAACCAAATTAATAGATAAACTCAAATGAAATATATCAACAGTTTTTTAAACCAATCAATCAGTTTGGTTCAACTGTGTTTAACTTCAAAACTGAACCTTTGAATACATCTAACAGTCTAACTCCTAACAAACTATGAGCATACCACATCTGGCCAGCAGTATTATTGGCTAAATTAATCACTAGATATTTTGTAATGAAATCCCATAATTTAACATTATATTCTGCGTGGAGCAAGCTGTTGCACAAACTTATCATATACATTTAATTATAACAATGAAGAAATATCTGAAATATGATACTGCAAGTTTAAACTCCATAATTAAATACCAATGGATGTGAATACATTAGTTTCTTGCCACATATATGCATGAATTAGCTATACAATTACTGATAACTGAAATATCAACATTTACAAAATCCTTCTGAATTTTCTACTATCTGAAATTGCGCCAAGGTAATTCCACAATGGGAGTGCCAGGGCCAGCAGCAGCAATGGTTATTACTTTGCATTCCATGAATTTTCATATCCCAAGATCGAATGATGGGTTGGAAAGGTGAGGGTTGTGCAAGTGAGATTGAGGCATTGTTTGTGTAACTTGCTTCTGAGTTGACAAATCTGATTTTTGTTTTAGAAGAGAAGCTGCTTGAGCCTCCAACTCATCAAGATCCATATTATCAAAAATGTGATCATCACAGAGAATATCCTTTGATGCATTAACTTTCGTAGATTCTTCATTTGATTGAAGAGCAAATTCCTGCTCAAGGTTCGTACTTGGAAATCCGAAATGATGAAATGTCAATTTGCTTTTGCGACTTCTCATCTCTGTTGTGGTTTCGATAGAAAAACAACTTGAAGGTACAGCTTCAGAGGTGATTTGGTTGACTTCAACTGATTGCATACTCTTCGAAGCTGACTGATTTGTTGGCTCAATTTGAGGTGTCTGAAGATGTCTTGGTATGCTGCCTGAAGAATCTCCATTTTCGCTGATTTTAGTCATGGATGACACGTACTCTGGACTAAATGTAGCTGAAATGTTGGTCCCTCCTTCAACTGGTAGTTGACTGAGCAAAGAACGCCTGCAACATAGTTTCAGTTATGCATCTTTACGGCATTGAAAGTTAATCAGGAAAGTTTAAAGAGATAAGAACTCTGATCAGTGCAGAAAATTAAAAAACGAAAACACAGAATACAAGAAAGAATTTCCATTTCCCTCTCCCTTCCCCAAGCCCAAAATTCATCATACAAAGCCGGGCGGTCATGGAAGGCACTCACTATTTCAAATTTCAAGACGAAAGAAACAATAAATACTCTAATGGTAAACATCATTAGATGTGTTAGTTAGGCCACAAAAGCTCTTGTAGATGTGTTAGTTTTGAAATATCAATTTTGGGATAATAGCAATAGAGTTAGGAGAGAAAAGAACCATTCCACAATCCTAGTTTTAAGAAATTCTTCATCAAGAAGCCTTATTTTATTAACAGACGAAATTTAAAAAAGAAACCAGTGATAGTTGGGATGGGTTAAAAGAACTTGATTCCTTTAAGCAAAGTCGAAAGTTTGAATCTTGTGGATAAAAAGAATCAAATTGGAAGAACTACCTTAATTGGGCCTAGCAATGATCAAGTTTGATCCAATAATATAAAATATTGGATAATTGTATGTAAAAAAAACCAATAGAAGGCTTTTTTTTTTTTGCAAGATACTTGTTGATAATTTCAAATTCTTGTGTGCTGTAGGACTCATTCACTTTTTAAGGTCAGCACTTGCATTTGTCTCATTTTATCTTATGGCTTTTGAAGAAAGCCAAAATCCATGCGGGTACAATGGGTTAGAGCTCCATGGAATTCGTCACAACAGGACACAATTTGAATGGCCATAACCACTTGCAAAGAGCCAAGTCTATATTGACATTTGTTCAAGGACGATTATCTTACTCTTGTCTCAAGCCAAGCACTAATACCATGTGAAATTCAAGAGAACAGAAATACGATGAATTGGAAGACTGGCACAAACAATTGTCATTGTGAAGCAAGCCCTCTCTACTCTTATTTCCTTTATAATGAGCTCATGCAAAAATACTTTTCAATCAGAAGAAATTAACAGTTTATTTCTAGGATTGCCCCTATTCGTGCAAGTTTACTTATTTACATGCATTGTTTACTGACAGCTTTTCACCAGGAAGCCAAAAACAGACCACAATTTGAAGGGAAATAAAGGGGAAGAATAAGAACCTGTATATGGCCATCATGTCTATTCCGCTGGCTTTAGACTGAGTGGATGCTGTAGGGTTCATCCTGTCGTCTATGAAACTATCCAATGAACCGTCATCCTCACCATCTTCATCATTAGAAACATCAGCTTCTGAAGATACCCTAAGGAAATTGAGCAGCTCATGATATATAACATTTCCACAAAATCTAGTACATCATATGCAGATTACTCTCATCGTGCGATTATATCATGTAAAAGATAATGAAAGATAGGCTGAATAGGTTTGCCAGATATGATATAAAGAAAGATGACATAAGAATGCAAGTTAATGAGTCTAAGCATAAGCTTACTCAGCCTCATCGTCAATGAAGACTCTGACTTTGTGCATTGATTTCCTTCCACCTAAAACGTAGAAAACAAAAGAAAACAGATTAAGTTCACCATAATACTTCACATATAAAGTCCAATCATAAAATATGTCCCCACTAGAAAAGCTTTCTCCATCAATATAGAAGTTAGCTAATGTCAAATTTTTCAATTCAAATTTCAGGGTAAAATACTAAACATTGATAAAGAATAAAAATGGATGCGATGAACATTAACAAAAGGTACCTCGGCCATGTTTATTTTGTTTAGAACCAGGGGTTAATGAAATTTTGCCAAGATTTTCTGTTGAAACACGATCCTTCAGGCTTTTCTCTTTCCTATGACATCTACCATCACCATCTTTACGCAACCTTTTAAATTTACGTGCCGGCTTCACACTTTCAGTAACTTCTCCACAACATAAAGGTGATTCTTCACTAAAGCTGTGGTTTGTAATGTCCGCAAAAGGATTTTGGCCTTCCTCCACTGTAGGAGAACTAAAGACATGACCTCTTCTAAATGCACAACTCTTCCGTTCGAATAAAATGGTTTGAGTTTCAATATCGGCAGGATCAATAGATACATTATTTACATCTGTGGCATTATCAATAAGGACCTTCTCATTTGTCCTCGAACATGAGGTAATTTGTTCCGTCTGGAGTTGAATAGGCGGTTTACTGTCCCGAATGACAAGCTGGCTTCTTAATAACCCTGCAAATTTGTTTATCTCAGAACAAAATATTTAATGACATAATTAACAGAGTCTTATTTCTAAACATTATTGATAAAGCCATCATGACCTGGAAGAAAATCACCTCTCTCGTTGATGGGAGACTCTGGAACAACACCACTTGTAATTAAACTGGTTAAACGGGGACTACACTGTGACTCGGTGATGTCATTTGAATGCATCGTCTTGCAACAAAGATGTCTTGATCTGAGCAATATCAGGCATTTCACCATCACTATGTCCTTCATTTGACAAAACTGTCTTAGCAATTGGAGTGTCAGGAACTGTCTCTTCAAACTCACATGTTTCCTCTTTATTTTCATCTAAGTCAATAAAGCTAGATGACGGCAAATCATCCTTCTTTATGCAACTTGTACTAGGCGATCTCTGTTCTCCCACAATATTATCTGGTGCAGTTAGATCAACAAAGTCTTCATCCGTTTGAATCCCTAAAAGAGAGGAATCCAGCTTCAGGCACTTATAGAAACTGCATAGCTTCCAATTGTATGCCTAGAGTGTGATTTGTTGTCTGAAAAGGACAGGGAAATACACACACACAGAGAGGCAAGGCATCTGACTGGCAGATGTATTGACAAATTTTCATATTTTGAGGTTATATACATATATATGAGAGAAGATTACCACTTCTCCAAACTATAGTGCAGGGAGTAGTTTACTCTTCCATGAAAAAAAAAAAATGAGGGACCAGACAGAGTAGTGCATTGAGGTTCAAAAAGAGGACGATATTCAAGCATGAAAGTATTTAATGAACGCAAACCTTGAACCAGAAATTAATGATGTGATGATGATAAGACTTGGATGGGGAGGAAAGAAGGTAACAGGTTTATATGATATAGCTGGAGAATCCCTCGATAAGAAATCGGATGCTTTCAGTAAAATGAATCTCGACCAAATGAACGATGTAAACTTCAAAATAAGAGGATCGATCACCCACCCACCCCACCCCACCACCACCAAAAAAAATAAAAAAATAAAAAAATATGAATTGCAATACATTTACAAATGCTTGTTGATAGTATAGGCAGCCATAAAATTTCAAGGAACGGAAGCTCTCTTTTCAGATTTCACCCAAAACAAAGAAATAAGAAAAATGCAAGTTAAAATAAAAGTTTTTAGGGGGGGGGGGAACTAAAGAGGACAATCACAATTATCATCACAAAATAAATTTGTTGCAATAATTAAGATAATTATTCTTTCATTTTGTGACTGTTCCTATGATAACATTATCTCTGATCTGAAAGTAAAAAAGAAATATGGATGAGCTTCAACCATCAACGAATACATGGTATAAAGTTCTTGAGAAACTGAAACTGATATTACCTGATCTAACTTCATCAATCTTGTTTAAGTCGAGTGCATTACTATCTTCTATACACAGGCCATCCTGAATAAAATAAAAAAGCAATCATATTTATGGCCATATTGAATGCAACAAATATATCACAAGCCTAGAGAAGGATGCAGAACCTGAAGAATGGAAGTTTTGCTATTTCCTAGGATTGATGCTTGTCCTTGCAGACGTTGCATCAAATCAATGAGCATTATTGCTCTACAAGAATGATTCACTTTATGTGTTTTAGAAGGATACGTCTGGAAGTAAGGAAAGGCAATAAGAGATGGCTTCCACGTATTTTCACCAGTGGCGGGAAAATACTTCGCAAGTATATTATTCTCAGCAACCGTAAGTTTGCCAATGGATGCATGTATCTGAATAGAGTCATCTTTTACTTTTTTCTCACGGGAAACAAATTTCTCAATTGACAGCTCAACAAACTGAACCTCTGGTTTAAAGACGTGGGGAATCTACACGAATAACAATCAGGATTTGAGGGTTATGGATCAGAAACTGAAATTTCCATCAAGAGAAACAACAAAACATGTTAAAAAGTAAGAGTAATAAAGGAAGTCCCCACCATTCTGGGACTAGGATGAAAAGTGAAGCTATTTATGCCCCCGTTTCGCATGTGTTTACTAATAGCCTTGCTCTTAGCTTGTTTCCGCAAGTATCCCTTCAGTTCAGTCCCTTCACAAGCTAAAACTAGTAATAACCGTGAAGGAATCACTTGAACAAGCATTTAAGCATTTTGAAGAATAAATGATATCAGGACATTAAATAAGTTATTCACACAATTTAAAAGAGGACATCCAATAATGCTATTTCATTCTCAGCAGCAACAATTGCCAATAAACATTTTTGGAAACCAAAGGATATCAACTTGTCCATCGTGCTTTCTTCCAGTTCTCCCCATGCGCTGAATCATTCTTAGTGGTGACACATTAGCATCAAAAGCTACAACGAGATCAACTTCCATGATATCAAGACCTTCTTCACCAATTGATGTAGCAACAATGACATTGTAGGCTCCAGAACGGAATTTCTGTGGGTGAACGACATAAGTATATGCAGGGACTGCAAAAATTACACAAAATGGAATACATACCTGCAGCACTGCCTGTTGAACTTTTTGGGACTGACCCTTCATTGTTTTCCCTGGAATTCATTACATTGAATTTTAATATGTAAGAGGAAGTTTTATCGATATATAGGTAACGCAATTTGTGAGAAGGACAAAAAGACATCTCCCCAAAAAATAAAGATAAAAAAAAAGTCAATAATAATTGACTAATTTTATGATGTCAGGGAAAGTTCAAGCATTCTTGACCATTACTACTACAATATTTGTTAGCAAGGAGGCCAGAATGCCTTAGTTATGCTCTGAAGAATCGGTGCATTGAGCTTTGATCTTTTCAATAAGAAATTCATGCCTTTTTACGTACAATAAAACGCAATCAAGCCTTCACGTTTTTACACCCTCCTTTTTTTTCTTCTCGGGATCAACTTTTTATTCCCTTTTACGTGTTAGCATTAACCACTGAGTTTTACCTGAACGGGAAAAATAGGAAAACCATTATAATAAGTGTCAACTTTTTAGTCATGTTAGGCTCAATAGAAGAAACATTGCAAAGTTGCAATGATTGAAACAGACATTTTATTTCATATCCCAATCAAGTTTTTTTTCCCCCGGTATGCTCCCAATCAAGTTTTCTACATGGATAAACAGTATATTAAACAGAATTATCAGGATATATACCTGAACTTTGACCAATAAACTGGGTAGCTCTGATTGGTTCTCCAATATTTGCTATTGCATCCATTATATCCCTGAATATATCATCACACCATCAGTAGCTTTTAATTCAGTTTTAATCATGCATGATAAGACAATAAATGATTCATTTTATTTTACCTCACACTTTCTCTATAATTGGAGAAAATAATAACTCTAGAGCTCTGAGGATCATTGGCTTCTGCAAATACATCCAATAAGTCATACATTGATAAATATTGTAACTACTTTTCATTTATCTAAAAATGTCACGATGAAAATAACCTAATTAACATTTACCACGCAAACACACACACGCATCTTATTCTATTAACCAATTGACCAATAACTAATTAACTAATTAGATAATGTTAAATAGATAATTTACACAACAATAATATAGTCTAACAACTGCCTTGTCTTCAAACAAAGCTAAAGATCTCTTCTCACAGCAACTGAAATTAATTAAGAGCGTAGGTGCCTTTAACATTTTGACCCTCTATTAACTAATTAGATAATTTTAAATAGATAATTTATACAACAATAATACAGCCTAACAACTACCTTGTCTTCAAACAAAGCTAAAGAATCACTTCTCACAGCAACTGAAATTAATTAAGAGCGCAGGTGCCTTTAACATTTTGACCCTCTAAAGATAAGAACTTTTTCAATTTATTCTCCTGAAGTTTAAACTTTCCATCCTTCTTCAGAGGATAGCAGTTGAAACTTTTTAAAGTCTGTGCGCTTGCTAAGAACAAACATGTTTACTTTCCAATTAGTAATGTAGAAGCATTATTTTTTTTCTGTTAAAAACAAATAGCATCGCGGAAATGCGAAAACGCAAGACAAGTAAACATATATAGAATTTGAACACTTGAGAACAAAAACTGTTCATACTGAAATGTTCCCGCAGTATTTCAAGCATTTTGGACAACTTGGGACTTGGTGCTCCATGAGATAAGTTTTGCTGCATCAACATCCTTGCCGTCAGAAGAACTTCATTTTTACTCATATATTTTGCGAAAAATCTGGAAAAAGATGTGCGCATTCAGAAGCACTGTTGTAGAAGCATATAAAATAACATATAATAAGCAAAATTATTTGCCTCTTAATTTTTTCCCCCAGATATCAGTTACAGAAATCATATAGAACTGTAGTCATGAAAGAAACTGAAAGACCTACCCTTGCTTCAATTTTCGTTCAAGCATCTCGTGCGCTGGCCTGATTCCATGACTTGAAAGTAGCTTATGGATGTAGTAAAGACTAATAAGAACTCCAAAATGGCCCTCAACATCGATATTGGAAAGATCTTGTGGAGGTGCTTGACGAAATTTTTCCCGCATTTCAAGTAATTCACAAGGGCTCAACTGTCAGGCATTTAAGAGAGAGGAAATTTGATGATTCCACCACATTATCATCCTCTACCAAAATAGGAAATGTCAGAAGTAAACTACAAAGTGCAAACTAAAATTATTACACCTGAATAATGAGAATTTAGTTCATCTTAAGGAAAAAATCAGAGGACTGAATTTGATGCAGATTCCATCACTAACAGACGCAGTTTTAACTAAACTCTTCGCCATTTAACACGTAGCATATACAATCGTTACCTCAAAAGTGGTCACAATGACAAGTCAAAACACAGGGGGACGATAGTACTAAAATCCAAAACGGATACTCTCCACTCATGCATTCATGCATGCACATGTATTTAGAGAATGAATCTTTTTGTTGTTACATCGGAGAGTTTTAACTTGAACACCTGTTCACACCCCGCCTAACCCTTGCTTCCTTTTCTGTGTGTATCTCTCTTCATATATTCTGTATGCATTTTTTTTTTTAAATGTAGGGATCCATAATCCATGTAACCAAGCCCACATAGTGGGATAAGGCATGCTGCTGCTGCTGTAGGGATCCATAATGCTAATATTTAAGTTTATGGAACTTAAATAAGAGTGGAGTTATCGCAAAAACAAGTGAGAATAATTCAAGGCAAAGCCATACTGTGCGGTAATCTCTATTCTTGAGAACTCCAATTGCTGAGAGCCGACCTACAAGTGGGCGTATTACATCCAAAAGCTGCTTGTTTATTTCAACAGCATCTTGACCCATTGCAACCTGGTAGAATTGGACATTTGTAACCAAGATGCCAAGTAAACATCAGCTCGTGATTTTAAAATTCAGTTAAACAAAGGGTTTAGCTACCTGAATCAGCTCTATCTTCCTTTTGTGAACATATGAGATTACATCGGGATCATTTTCATTGCGATATTCGAGCTTGGAGATTTGCAGATTATCAATGACTTGCTGGACTGTTTGCTGCTTTGCTGAATCATAACATTTAGCATTTAGAATCAGGACCGATATCATAAATGACTAACTTGAAAAATACAGTTATCAATAACACACCTCCTGGTGTTGCTGTTAAAGCCAATATTCGCAGTTGCACTGGCACAGCCATTAACTAACAATTAAAAAGTCAACATAACTATGCAGTCCTATTCCACATATAAAAAGGAATGAACATGTCTTACTCATGAAGTTTAGAAGTAATTCACCTCACGAACTACTTCACAATAAGAGTAATTTCCCATTGCTCTGTGGGCTTCATCAATTACCAAACATACCAAGTATTTCACCAAACATTTACCTAAAACAAATCATGTCATGAACAAAATAGAAAGGGTATAAAATATAAAACATGCGATAAAAACAACACAAAAATCACTAGAAAACTTGACAAGGTGTTAGTAGTTGTTTTTGCACAAACACACTAATCCAACCAACTCCAAGACTTAAGAATGCCAAATATCAACAGGAGAATCCATCGCCCCGATATTAATTCATCATCACATCATAAAAGCCAGAGCTATAGAGCATAGGGTCCACAGTTGGTGACAAAATAATGCAGATCGGACAATGGCGGAGTTTGTCAGTCAGAATATATTTTAGTATGCCACCACGGCCACACGACTTATACCTATGGATCACCAAATCTCTTGCATCTTCATTCCGCTGAGATCTATTGAAAAGTTACTTCGCTTTGGTGGAACTTCCAAGAATCCATGATGTTTGTGCTTTTAGTCAAATTATCGAGTTAAAATTAATTGCTGCAGATAAAATTTGGAGTGTTAGTTTGAGGGGTGAATAGAAATGTCCTGTAGGTTAAGAACAGGATTGCTCGAACTCCATTGAGCAGCATTGAGGACTTAGGAAAATTTTGTATGTTAAGAAAAGAGTTACTCTTAGTGCACCCAATGTAATATCTTTCCAAGATCATAGTATGAGCATAAATAGAGGTTGAGGGGTCATTTTTCACACACATGCACACCATCACGGATTGTTTCACTGACAGACTGTGTTCCTTCGTCCCTATTTCTTAGCATTTTGTGACCCCAATTTGTAGATGTAAAAGCTTTGACAAATCTCTCTTAAAAATTTGAAGCCAAAATCTTGAGATAGGGATAACACATCAACCCCCTCTGAACTACGTAAAGGATACTTACATATTTTATCATTTCACTTCAAAGTTGTAACGAAACACCCTCTTCCATGGCGTTTTAATTACTTGTACATAATCTTTCGTCAGCCAACTGAAGGGAATAGGGAAGAAATAACATAAACATCGGACAACATGATCTTTGAATAAGACTGAGTTAACGTTTTCAGGTGGCTTTTTTTTTTTTATAACAATTAAAAGTTGGTTAGATGTGCTTAAGTAATAACTTGTAATTGCACACAAGTAGTTCAAGGTGTTTTATTACATTTGTAAGTTTATGTACTCCCATTTTCAGGGAAGAAAAAAGATATTCCCTTGCTTAATAGGAGGAGAAAGGCTGATCTGTGATGCGGAATACCTTCCAATTATCAAACATTTCAATAGAGCATATCCAACATCATGATCAGTTGATCACAATACTGTCCACATTTGTTCAGTCGACCATGCATCTTATTTTTACAAGAAAAGTTCTAGTTAGTCACACGACTTATCTGCCACTCTGGTCTTCTCAAATAGACTTGGCTTTTACAAGTCTCATAGTGGTTGTGGCTCTTGATTTATCAGTTAAAAGTTTTTGTTGTAAAACAGGCTAACAGCTGGGCAAGATATATACTGAAGAATAAAATCATAAAAGTATCTAGAAAAAATTACTGATTTAATTTAGAATTTCACCAGAATGAATATCTTTTTCCAATACTTGTGGAGTGACGAAGAAAACTCGTTTGGTTTTCCAAAAGCATGCTCTTTTAGCTGGGCTTACTTGACCTGTCATATCAATTGTCCATTCCTGCAATTGTGCTCAATCAGCTATATTTTAATTTTAAATTGTAGTAAAAAATTGATATAAAAAATTACCCAAACAAGAACGGACAATTCAGCAAACCTAATGACAACTAGAAACGATTACTTACTTGAGGTATTCCTACGATATTATGGCATGCTTCAATCTGTTGCATGACCAGTGGCCGAGAAGGAGCAGTAAAAACAATTTTTCCTGATGAGAAAGGACCAGCAGAAAAGGATATAAATTCTCCGTAGCATAAGCTTCCCATTCAACTGAAAAGCTAAACTGTGTAAATAATTAATACACAGGCGTTCAACTTGAAAAATATCTGTCCAAAGGAAAAGTAGTGTACAAACAACACTTTGCATATCTAAAGCTAAATTTCCTTTTAGCTAGCCTAACTCAACATCAAGAACTATGACCAACATGAAATGCAACAAATACGTCAAAACGACAAGTAAAATTCAACTTTAACGTGTATTGTTGGGATGTGAAATTCTAACAAAACAAAACAATCAAACTGACACTGACATAAACATGTCCATCTTTAAAAATCATTCAAGAGTACACAACATATTCATCAATTCACACTTGTGTGTGCATGTGAGCATGCTCAAGTGTTCATACTCGAATCCCACTTTAGGCCACTCCTTCCTAAGAAACATAGGATGAGCATTATCCCACATTCAAAATAACTTGCACCGTCACTTTACAAAAACAAATTGTCTGTATGGAAAATTGTCACACTATTATTCATGTACATTAAAATAAAATTAGGAAATAAATTTTACTATTTAAGATTAGATTTCTAGTCTCATTTTTTGTTTTCTCCTATCTTGGGTCAGCAGCTTCCTTGGGACTTAGAAGCTAAGAAAATAAATTTTTATGGTTAACATGCATGGCTTGATATCAGGCAAGTGTTATCAAAGTCCCGTGATGTCAGCAGACAAGCCTGAAAGTTGCTTGCGCTTCATGGGAAATTTTAATGCAGCTAGAGATAGTTAGAAGCAAAGGTGCTACGCGGGTGAGGCACTCGTAGCTCTTGCTGAAGTGAACTAAGGTATTGAAACGTTGGCCCAAAAAAAAATTAAGGTATTGAAATTAGGAAAAGTGATCTAAAAAGAAACAATAGCTAAATGTTACTGTTGGAATCCCGTGATTATGTGCTCATTATGAGCTTTATTCTTTTTTTATTTTATTTTAATTCTCTCTTGCTTATCATATGAAACTTTAGCATCATAATCAACTTATTTCCTCTTTTGTTGGTGACTCTTTCCAATTTTATTTCCATGAATCATGCTATCTTTATTATAACTTTATTTCCTTGTTTCCTTCCTTGATTTATGAGATTGGTTAGTTAATTCCTTGAGTCAATTATCATAGTTATCATTTATCAAGAATGACACTATTTTGAGGACAATTATTTGCTTTATAAATCATGGGTCCCAAAAATTGGTATTGCTTCTACGCAGTATAAAATATCAGATTACGAAGCTGCAATATTTCAATGTATGCTTAGGTCCGACTCCAAACCTTTCTTCTTTTGGCCTCTTGTATGTTTCAGTGCAGCCTCTATGGTGAAAATTTAACTTATACAGCATGTCTTCATAATTTTTGTTGATTGGTTGGATATAATAAGGTGTTCTCATAGAAACTTATCAATACAAACGATTCCACTGATAAAGAACTATAGTTTTCGGTAGCATTACACTGAATAAATGACCACCTTAAAACAAGAATAGTTGAGACAAGTCAAAATGAAAGGCTCAATAATGGTTCAGGGGCTTATAAAACTTGGAGGGTCGATAAACGTTAGAAATTTCAGTGACAGACTAAAATCTGTGTCACTATCTCCGGGCAAAGATAGTGATGAACCGCTTCTGAGTTCTTGATCATTTATTTACAGATAAGAAAGAAAGGCATTAGTACAGTAAAAAATGGTCTCAAAGACTAGCCACATAATTCAACTAAAGATGAATATCGCATGACCAAAAAAAAGTGTCTGAGCCTGATCATATTAACAAAAACTAATTTATGAGTGAACCAGAACCATTCAGCACGCGTGATCTAGCAGGAAAAGTAAATGAAACAACAGGAAAAAAAAAAATTTATGTCTCAAATGTGCTACTGAGATGCATATACCTCTGGGAAACCATCGGAAGTAGTTGTACATGACAACTGCAGCAATCAGAGTTTTCCCAAGTCCTGTTGGCAATGCCACCAATGTGTTTGAAAATAAAGCAGACTTTGTTATAGCAAATTGGTAGTCACGAAGAGGAACATTGACTGCAAAAGTTAAAATAAACAGATTAATTGGAAAATAACACAAGAAAACAAGTTTGAATATTGCATATACGGATATCATGCATAAGATTACTACAGCATTACTTGCACGGTTAAACCTCAAATCAGAACCGAGAGAGAAAATATCACAAGAATAGTCAAAAGATTTATGCAGGTTTATTTCATATTTCTGAGTTAAAAACTCCACAGCAGGCAGATTACTGAGGATTTGGATTTGGATTTGGATTCAGTAAGAGGTGGTAAGAGTCCATCTCAATCATCCAACTGCAACTCACAAGATCGCACCACATTGTCCAAAGAATAAAATAACTTCATATTGCCAATTTCACTTTTATCAAATGACTTCATCTTGTCTTAATTTCCTGATGGATGCGGCGCAATCTTATAGGTTGCAAACGGACCATTGTCACCAATCCAAATCTTTTTACAGGATATGTTAAAATGACTATTGTCTATGTATCACCTTAAAACTAAAAGAAATCAATTATAAACCGTGACAAATCTTATACAGGATATGTTAAAACGGCTATCTTCAATCCATTACCTTATTAAATATTACCTAGCCATATCTTGATACAAACAATGAAACCAAGATATCAAGCCATAAACCACCTCAAACAAAATAAAATGAAATAAAAACTTAAGATGCTATCGTGAGTGAAACATAACCGACCTAAAAATTAGTATCACAATGTCCGTCAGTCGTTCATCGAAGGAGGGCATAAATCTAAACATGGACAGTTATTTTCTACAAGACCGGAGACCCTCAAAATAGCCCATTAAAAAAAAAAAATTGGGGGGCTGTGCAGCAACCAAATACTGTAGACACAGTGGAATGTTTGCAGCATAATCTGTCTACAACACAACCAAATACTGCGGCGAAACACAATTTGAACCTGGAGAACTAGTTTCACAGCTCCAAGAAATTACTCTAAACAAAACTATACACCCACATGCCCTTATCAACCAAAAGAAAGAAAAGGGGAGCCCAACAAGTTAAGACTAGATGAGAAACAGAAACCAAATTCATCTGAACCTGGGTATATCCAAGTTTTGACTGCCTCAGCATCAACCTCAATGCAGCTCACCCCTTCATCTCCTACGAAGCATTCTTGCTCATTCTTGCAGACCTTGGGTTCCTCGAGTCGAGGCCTTGGGGCTTCCTTCTTATCCAGAAATTTATGTAAAGTCATTTGGCGCGAATTGGAAGTATCACCAACGAGCGGAGTGGAGGGCTTTGCGACTTTACAAGCCACATCGATTTCTCGTGCAGCGGCATCCCAATCAAACACCTAAAGAGCAGAAGGAAACGGTGAATTGGCGCGACGGCAAAGATAGAAAAGGTAAGAGCAAAAAATGCTTACTTCGTCATCGTCGCCGTCGTCAATGATTACATAGGGATTAGCGGAGGACATGGAAGAATGAAGGTGATACGCAGATATTGATGATGATGGAGACTCTCTTCTTTGATGACTATGCAGAGGGAAACTGAGGGGTCAGAAGTGAGAAGCGAAATTAGATATTGGCGGCAATATTTGAATGTCGATTTAAAAAGCGTCAATGCAAAGATTTCGATTCGTCTAATAAGATTTCTTTTTCAATTATTATTAGTATTACTTTCTTAATCTTAAATTATAAAATATTTTTAAATAAAATTTTACATATTAATAAATTTTATTAAATATATTTAATAATTTTATTTTTTCAGATCAAAATGTAAATTTTTAAAGATACTTATCATTTAATGCATTAAAAAAGAAGAGATGAGAATTAATTATTGAGAGAAGAATGTTAATATTAAAATTAATGTATTTAATAAAGCTTTAATTTATTTAAAATATTTTATATTTTAGGATGAATATACTTCTTTAAAATTACCTTATAATTTAGGACGAAATAAATATTTTATTAGAGGCAATTTAATTTTATTCAAAATATGGTCAACTATTAATTGTAGGCATCTATTTCAATAGAATTCAAATCTTATTCATCATATTGTAAGGAATTAATTTTTTAACTAGATTTAATTTCTGTTGGGTTCTAAATTTCTGGCAAAAAAATTAATATATTTTAGTATAAGGCACTCTTTAAATAGAAATTTATTTTTTAAATGCATGTTTGAATTTTAGTTAGATATAATTAATTATAAAAATAATTAATTAATTTTAATTGTAATTGATTATGTTATAATGCAATCTGTTTTGATATTAAAATTGATTTTAGCTGTATAAATTATTATAAAGAATATTACTTTTTAAAATTAAATTATTGATAAAGTTATATTTAATATTATTAAATTTGTTAAACTTTATTTAAGAAATAAAATATATTATATAAGAGTAAAATTAAATTTATAAACAATCTCTCAAAGCTTATTTCAAAAAGTAATTCTAATTTAATAATTAATTATTAACTTTTTTTACTATTTGAATATGTTTTTCAAAAATTGGTTATTTGAAGCCCAAAATCGATTAATATGATAATACAAACAGCCTTTTGAAAATCGATTTTACAGCACATTACCTCCTCCTCTATGCCCATGGTAATGATTCTTTTGATATTATGACCTTTACCACAATCATGCTATTCAAAAATCAAATAATTTTGTCAATTCATTTTATATTTTATATTTTGATTGAGTTAAAAGACATTTCTCTCTACAACTATCCACATAGAAGTGTTTGTTATTCTAAATATTTTTTATGATGTAATGTTTCTTTTGACAATTAATTGATTCAAAGAATTATAGAAAATAATTTTAAAATTAAAAAAATCTAAAAATTATAAATAAATACAGTATAATAAAATTAATATTAATTAAATCTTTAAATTTATAAATATAAATATTAAGAGACAAATGTTATTTTTTAACTATATGAAAAACCAAAATGCAATTTTGACTAACTACTTTGACAAGTCGTTGGATAGTCATCAAATCATTATTATTGGCAATAACACCAGTGATTAAGTGAAAAAATAATACTCTCTCCGTTTAAAAATATAAAATATTTTTAATCAAATCTCACCTCCAATAAAGTCGTTGCCTACTTTCAAACTAACCCTATCTTTCTATATTTACTCTTATTAAACACTCTGTAATAAATATAAAGTTAATATCAATAGGGACACTTTAAAAAAAAGATAATGATTATACCTCGAAAGATTAAAAATGCCTTATATTTTTAAACATCTAACTTTTCAAAAAATGCCTTACATTTTTAAACGGAAGAAATATATTTGTTTTAATAATATTTTTCTTGACCAACGTTTAATAATATTTTTTAATATCAGCATTTTATTGTTTAATAATTTTTAGCAAAAGTCGCACAGAAGTTCCATGGATAGATTCTACTCCCTCAAGTTCTATTTATAAATTATTTATACTAATCTTACCAATACTAATATAATAAAGTAGGTGAAATTTTAAATATAATCTTTAAATAAAAAAAAAGTAAACAAAACAATTCCATCTTTCAATAACTTATAAAAGAAACCAAATTATACAAGATCGGAAAGTATTTCTCAAAAAGTCCAATAAAATAAACAGATATCCTAAAGTTTGATGGACTTTAACGGTAAATCACCTTTTTTTTTTTTGGTGTACATTTACCAAAATACTCTCGTTTAAAATTAACAACTGTCTCACCATGGTCACATCCTCTGATCGACCACTTGCTTCCTCTCTATCTCTACTCTTTGCCAGTTGCCACCATGGACATCTAGAATCTTCTTGACATAGCTTCCTGGATCCCCCTTCAATAGCTCCACACACTGCTCCCATCAATCTCCTTCAATGGCAGCGAGATAATGAGAGAGAAGGTCACAATTCTTCAAAGAAGCAAGTCATTTGATTCGAAAATCATGAGCGACACGTGGGATTGATGAAAAGAGGTGACAAGTTATCAATAGGAGGATGTGACTATATAGATGAGAAGAAGCAGAAACGGAGACGATGGCGGCGGCGCCTTTGTGAAGATGAAGGAATTAGAGGAAGCGAGGGCGACGGAGGATCCGTTAAGGGAGGAGAGAAAGTAATTTAAAAAAAAAAAATTTAGTCATTTGCTGAGGTGGAGGATCTAACTGACGCACGAGCTGCTGAGTGTGCTCATTCAGCGGAGAAAAAAAATTATTTAACCGGAGAGTTGATGATAAAGTGAAAATGGACGAGTTTTTAAATGTTTAAAAGAAAAATGATCCCAAATTAAATTTAGAATATCGGATATATCTAAGCAAATATTTTGAGAGTAAAAAAAACTCTTAATCTTTTTAATTTCTAATTGGCCATCTACACGAATGCCAAGTGTACATACATGTGGGAGCCATTAACTTAACTTAATTCATTGTCTGATTGTCGTGCGTTAAATGGTAGGATACACGAAGTTTTGTTTTTTAATGTCGAAAGAGGGAAAATCTTTTAAAATCAAGTTTAGGTTATGAGGTATTTTTAAGCAAATATTTAAAAGATAAGCATGACTCTCAACCTTAACAAAAATTGAATAATGATAAAAGTAAATGGAGTCATGGAGGAATACGGCCGGGCCACCAGGGTTACCCATTTGAACTTTCCTTTTTTTGTTGGTACCCTAGCTTTGAAAGTTGTTTAAAAAGACTTTAGAGCATCACCCTTTGAAATATTAAAAAAATGAGCTCAAGCTCAAAACTCTCTGTTGAAACTCATATTTATTTATTTTGAAAACTTGTGATATTTTATAGGTTAAAATATATATTTAGTCATTTAACTTTATACAAGATTTTATTTTGATTCATTGATTTTATAAATATTTTTTCAGTTTTTTAACCTTAATACCATTAGTTTTTTCAACAAAAAAATTTTAAAATTGAACATTTAAATATTGACAAAACATTACATATTAAGTTTACTTTTTAAAAATAACAATAATCAGTAAAAAATAATTATTTAAAAATAATGGTGTTAGGATTAAAAGTTTGAAAATATACTTTACAAAATAAAAAGATTAAATTAAAATCTTATATAAAGTTAGAGAAGTATGTGTATACTTTAGTTTATTTTATATCTCTGGATTAAATCTAGAAAAAATATAATCATTGATTTTTATAATTTTATCGAGTTTTGCTTTTAGTCTTTTTAATTTTTTTTATTATTTTCAATCCCTATAATTTCAATAAGATTGGGTAACATTTGTTACTTAAATTCCTATAATTTTTATATTTTTAGTTCTTATAAAGATTTAAAATATTGAGAAAAATTATAGGGATTAAAATAAAATTCGATAAAACTATAAGAATTAATGATTGTATTTTCTTTTAAATTTAAACTTTAAAATATGTATTTGTACTTTAAAACTATGAGTTGTTTTACTTATTTTGAATTTTAGCACATTTTAATTTGTACTTTATAATATAAAAATAAAATATAATAATGACAATTTAATTTTAAAAAATAAAAAATAAACAAAGCTTTTTTAAGCCCAGGATTTGAGCATGACCAATAAAGGTTGAGTTTGAAAAAAATAATTAATTTTAGAGGAAAAAAACTTATGTGCTAGAGGATATCAACCAGGCCGCGCATTTCCCGCTCTAGATATTGCATCTCAATTTCCATGAAATAAAATCGTTTTTATATATCATGTTTACACTCGTCTATTTTCTCACTTTTCTAATGCATTATATGCATTCACTTTGATTTCTAAGTTGTTAAATTAAGCAATATACTTTTTCTTTGGCTTCCACACAATAAATAATGTCATTTTTACCGTTATCAACAAAATAATGACAAGACATGTAATACTTCATCCATTTCAAATATAAGATTTTTAACTAAAACACATGAACCAAAACACTAGTGAAATAGTTGAAATATTAATTTTCCCAACTTCACCCTTCTTTAGTAGTATGAATAATCAATTATTTGTTAAGCCAAGTAACTTTGATATACTTTCAAAGACATTTTAGATAGAAACTTATTAAACCTCAACTTCTTGAAGTATTGAAACAATTAAACTAAACAAACCTTATATTTGAAATGATGGGATTATTGAGTATCAATGGCATGAACATAATGATAATTGCATGAATCAATTTTCGTGCCGTAAAATCTTTTTCATATCATCTTTGCTCTCATCATCTACTTTTTCTGTCTCTCATATAATGCTTTATATGCATTCATTCTTGTCAACATAGAAGATCCAAATTGTAAAATCAAGTATTATCCACTTTTTTTTTTTTTTGGCCACCGCTCGATACATAGACAGAGATCTAGCACCAATCTCGAATTTAAAATCAACCACAGGATGATAATACACCAACGATCAATATTACATCTCTGATCTTTTAGGATTACAGGCACACCAAAGTGCTTCCTCTTATATAAGAATCACACGCCTTGATACACAACATTGTCCAGCCCCTAGTAGTCTATTAGGAAGGGACAAGGATGCTGTGACTCGTCACAATACACGACTGCCCCTTGGCAAGTACCACCATGCACTATTATATAGTACATCCCAGGCACAGATACTATTTTGCACCAAAGAAATACTCAGTAAACTTAAAAGGAGACGAATGGTACAAACATCTAACAGACATGATTGACACACCACACTCTTTCCAGCAGAATATCATGTCCATGATGAGGTAGGTATATAACTTTGGCATTCCTTTCAATGAGCAGGCTCCATCAGGCAACAACTGGATCATCTTTCTGTTAAAACAAAAAAAAAAAAAAAAAATTTACACATGCCCAGTTGGTCAAAATAGGAAAAGAAATACAATCACTAGCTAAAGTGAAAAAAAGAAACCTACATTTTCCATGTGTTTAGAAGTTTAGAAATTTTGAAAGTATATCAATGAAGGACACAAAATAATTTAATATCTGATAAAGATCCTAGTAAGATAACTTCACTTGTTAATTTGTTAATGTTTACTTGCAAAAAATTCTTTTAGATAGCAAATAGATCGATAAATTTGGATTTGAATTTTAGATTATCTTACATTTTAAATCTTGCATGTTAAATCTTACATTTAAAATCTACGTATTTAAAATCCTTTGTTCTGGTAATTTAAAAATTTTCAAATGAAAAAGAAAGATGGATTAAAACTTGAAACAAAAATGAAAAATTGAAAATAATGAGTTTATCTCTACTTTTTAATTGACAAAAGACGAAAATAAGATGAGAAAAGATATAAAAGTTATAGAGATATTAATAGTAAAAACATAAAGAGAAAGAGATATTAAGTGATTAGAGTTTCAAATCACCAAGGTATAGAGGAAATTTGAGATTACAAAAGAATTATAATAAAAAATGGATGAGAATTTGAATCAAATCTGAATTCATGAATTTTTGTGTGTCTAAATGAGGAATTCAGTCTAAATCTAAATCCATACTCCTATTAATCCAAACATAGCATTAAAGACTCCAAATTCCTTTATTGATATTCTCCCTAGAATTTACGCATACCTTTTTAAGTAGCCCAACCTTGGGTCAACCTGAATTTGTTAAGGACGATCCCCAACGGAGACCATAGCTCATAGCAGGAATGATCTGCCTCAAAACTTCGAGGAATTATTGCTGTTGTAGTGGTCCATACTCTGTCAGTCACGTTGTAAACCTAATGCAATGAAATCCAAGAACGCCCTCAAAAACTTGATCAAACATGCTTTTCTTTTGCCAATGAGATTAAATATGTTCTGTTAAGGTTAAAATAATCTAATTAACTTTACTATCAACCTAATTTCGAGAAACCCAAACAAATATATTAAAAACAGGGAATGCTTCATTTATTTACTTTTTTCGTTGAAGGAAATATAGATGCAAACAAGACTGTACATACCACCTTTAGATATTTTAGGACCCTGAAGATGATTTCTGAACCCACACTTGCTTCTGCAGAGAAGATTAGCACTTTCAGTGGTGGTCCATGAAACGATGTAAGAAAAACTAACAATGAAGATAATCACAATAATAATAATGATAATGATAACAACAAGAATGATTAATGATAATTACAACAACAATAATAGTATCAGAGTATAAAATCATAGTAGCCAAATAGTGATATTGTCATGAATTGAAAATGTATTTTTGAATCATGAATCATAAAACATATCAAATCATAAGATTCAACAAGTGAAAAGTAACTTGAATCACGCAATACACCATGCAAGCATATTGTTGTAATATGCATAAAATACTCAAGATCATAAATAGAAAAAAGTCATATAAAGTGTAAATAATTAATTCTTGAAATATATCTATTTATGAGGGATAAAAATACTCAATAACAATAAAACACTGTCAAGCCAATTTAATATTCCCACACATTCCTCGTTGGAAAGGTTATACAATCATGTTCTATTGGCTTGGATTGAATGATTCATGACCCTTTCAGGCTTCAGCCATCAACTAATACTATTGGTTACGTGACTCATCATGAATTGTAAGGTTCATATTGTGAATTGCACAATTTAGAACTTTTTTCAATTAAATCAATGTTCCATATCATTGACATTGTGATTCATAGCAAATTAAAAGATTTAAATCTTGAATAGTAAGATTCTGATTACTGCATATAAAATACATACCTCATGAGCCCCATGTCCAGCAACACCTTTCTTAGAAGGTTTTGCTTCACTTAAACTGACTGCAGTGTCATCCTTCACTGTGTGGGTAGCTCCACGACGAGTATAATGTCTTTGAGAACCTGAAGTTTAGTTGAAACATTGAAGTAGAATCAAGGCATGGATATTCTAGTGTGTATTGATGGAATGAGTAAAGAAACACCAACCATTTTCAACTGAGGAACTATTACGACCACCAGCAGAGGCTGAGTATTCCCCTTTTCTGCTTCCAGAAAAGACATCATCTTTCATTTCTCCTGCAGACAGCGGAAAATTACAGGAAGATAATGACTTTAGATCTGTTGGCTTTATGTTGAAACTTAATTAAGAAAAATGAAAGCAAGAGTAATTCACAGAGAAGAATATTTTGTCTTTGCAATGAAAAACAATTTAATGTCTACTCCAGCATACCTTCAACTGATTCAGAATGTGACAAGGTAGACTGTGATACAGAGGATGATGAGTGCTCATTAACAGCATGAGAAACATCGGATCGACGAAGAGGAGTCCAAACCCCACAATCAGGTCTATCCTTGTTTCTAGTACGCCTTTCTGTTTTTTCACCACTGCCCAAACCATGCAGATCCCTTTTTACAAACTTCTCATCCAATGCCCTTTTAGAATCCCCTTCAGAATTAAATTGGCCTGCATCATGATTGGAGACAAGACCATTTGTCCCAGACCGTGCACTCACATTCCGAAGTGGCCGCTTCCCATTCTCAGAACTCAAGATCTGAACTTTCTGTTGAGCTGCAGTTGTGGACTGGCTCTGACGAGCTTCATTATTTAGAAGTATGCTCCTAATCAACCTTCCACTAGCTTCGCGTCTTGGGTTCTGCTTTGAAGCAGCAGAAACAGCAGGATTTCCGGATTTTACATTTTGCTGTTGTGCCATACTCTCAGCAGCCTAAGAGAGTGAATAAACAGTGTCAAAAATCACAATTTCTCAAAAATCACATAAAGTAAATAAACAGAGTCAAGAAAAGAATCAAACTTCCAGAGATTTATCTTAATAAAAAATAAATTTTATTAGAAGAAAATAATAATAATAAAAAAGACAATAATTATCATCGAAGAAAATCTTCAAAAATAAACTTCATTTGGAAAAACGTACATTGAGAATTTCTCGTTCTTTCCCTTTAACCAGCAGGATTTTTTTCTTTCCAGAGCCAGCAGGCAGAGGGATAGCTGAAATAGGACCTTCAATACCATGCACTGCGAATTCATCAAGCATGTGACTTTTTTATGGATAAAAGGAATGTTTACAAAGAAGATACAAGAGTAATTAAGTTAGCAGATAAGAAATCCTATGCCAAAGAGAACAAGCATGGTTTTTTTATTTAAAAAAAAGAATATATAAAAAGTCCTAAATAAGAAAGTAATCAAAGAAGGAAAGATGTCCAATCCCATTGCACCGTGGAAATAGTGAATCCCTTAAGAACGTTTAGCAGCTGAATTATATTTATGCTTGATAAGCAACTCAATTATTGTGTTGAAACCTGATTTCAACCAAGAGAATGGGGGCTCAACAAAGATCAAACTCCTGATCAATTGTTTATTGAGGCTCCAATACCATGACACCATTTCAACTCTTTTTGATTTTATGTTTTTTCCTCAAATTTTTTTTTGGGTTTTTGGCCATCGACTATTTCAACTCAAGCGTAAGCAAGTTGTTAATTAAAAGTCCATGTCCATAATTAGCTTTTGATATATGCTCCAAGTCTCCAACAATCTCTACTGAAGAGGAGAGGAAGACCCTTTTGCAAAATAAATTTCAAGATATTTAAATAAGATAAATTGGAGGCAATAATCTAGGAATAAATGGGCAAAGAATGGGGACCTAAACACAGTTATTTCAAAGAGTGACAACTATTACCAGAAGGACAAACCTGATAAGGGAATTTGCATTTGATAAAGGACTCATGTTAAAACAATGAGGATCATTTCGGAAAAGATAACTCAGATTTTGTGGGTCTATATAAACAAGACTATCTTTAGCTAACCTTTTCTGGAAGGTTTGGACTGGGCCCCAATCTGATGAGTGAGGCAGCTTGGTTGGAGCGACCTTTTGAGAAGGAAGAGACGAGAAAAACTATTGGTTGCATCTATAAAGACAAGTCTTTCTTTCCAAATCATTTTTGAACATTCTCTACCCATGTTAGAAGTTATAATAAACTTAGAAGTAACTCTCTAATTGAATGCAGGGAAAAAATTCCCTCTCCTGTAAAATTATAGGGGAAAAAAATCTTGTATTTGGTCATATGAAATAATTCTATGATAAAGGAATGCATTCTTCTACACACGTGCGCGCACACACAAAAACATGCATTCATAAGCTGAAAGATATAAGTAAACGAGAACTGCACAAAACTTACCATTAACAGATTTATTTTCATTTTTTCAGGAAGAAATTTTATTAAAGAACAAGACGGATACAGAAAAGAGGAATAAGACATCTCCAAAACAAACCATGAGAACATATGAGCGAAAAAACAAAATAAATAAAAGACCTAAATTAAAAATATCATACTACCAGCTTCAATTTCAGATATTCCCTTTGAAATGGACACAGATGATTGATATTCTCGCCGGGGAATTACAACAGAGCTTGATTTGTCTTTTCGGTTGCTGCTTTTAGCACTATTCTTCTGAACATACTGGCACTCAAAAACCGAGTCAGTGACATGATCCACCATTCTTTGAAAGCATAAATAGTGCAGTTTTATTTAGAAATAAATTAAGGGAACAATCTAGACAATAGCCAAAGACTAAACATGTCCAAAACCTATTAACTTAAATTACAACAGCAACAAACAGCTTTATCCAACTAGGTGGGGTCAGCTACATGAACTGCACGATACCATAATGCTTTAAAACCTATTATCTTAAATTAAAAATGGAAATCCATAAAGCAATTGTATTGCAGGTAATCAGATTAATTATGACAAGTTTTTCATGTTACTTTTGTGAATTTATCATTCTATCTGAGATATGGCAGTTCAGGTTTTGTTGCTCGTGATTCCTTTTTCTGAATTCTATTTGTTCTAGGTCCATATGGCCAAACTCCACTAACAAAGAAAATCTTTTCCGCAATAAAGAAGCACTTCTAAAAGTGAAGTTCAGCCATCATAATTTTGCTTTATCCAGATGACCGCATGACTGAACCTTGTTTAACATGTGTTTGATTTTCAGTTTGCCAAAAGTTTGTTTATCAAGAGTCCTTTTGCCAAAAATTAGTTGGTAAAAGTTAATTCTTGTAACATAATTTATATTTTGGTATATTTTTTTAAAAACCAATTTAGTAAAATGAGAGTTTTTTTGGAAAGCAACCTAGACCAGCTTTCACCATTGGAAATTCACTTAAGTTGTTCAAAAGTTAAAAGTAACCTGTACATCAGCTTTTGGCAAATGGACTTTCAAACATAACAAATAGACTTTCTGATGTATCAAAAAATTACACAAATAACTTTTGTCTTTTGAAAGTTCCCCAAAAGGACTTCTAGTTTTCCAAAAGTTGTAACCAAACATGCCCCTAGATATTGATCAGCCACCAGCTAGCCCATGAAAAATGGAAGTGTATCATAAGAAGACTAAGAGAAAAGAAGTGTATGTGGCAGGGATGCTTGTAATGAGCTGAGCAGAGGGGCTAATCAGGTAACACCCCCACTAACTTACATGGGTCATGAGGTGTAAGATAAATTGAGTGTGAAGGTTTGAGGATTTTATCAGGCTTGAGTAGTGAAAGGATCAAGGAGAATTTGATCTCTCAAAACCAAATGGTGGTTACTACTCTTTTCCTTTGTCATTTTCATTTTCTGCTACTGTAATTTAGCTAGTTTCTTCCTCACTCTGATTCTCAGGGAAGGAGTTAACAGTTGTCCATCGACATAAATAATGCTAGTCTTCTTGGGAATTCCATCAGATTTTTTTGGGAAAAAACAACAGAAAAGTGAAAATGAATCTCTCAATCAATGAATTGAGCAATGAGGTAACGAGGTATAATCTGTGACATCTTTGGTGTAATGAAGCGAATAAAACTAAAACATGCATTATACCGACAAGTCCTACCTTTTTCTTCTCAGAGCCTCGTCTAGCATTCTCTGAGCCAGGCTTGCTGGATGAAGCACCCCTGGTTCTTCTGCTAATCTTTGTCACAACTGGTGAAGCCTATCATAAATCAGTAGAAGCAATATAAGAATAAATGTTATGTCCAACCCAAAAAAGAAAATCCTGTTTATTATGTATAACTTGAACCAAGACATCAGTAGAGACTCTGGCTACGGCCTATAATAGCGATGCAGCATGATAAATTATAAACAGTACCAGAATAACCAACCTTTCTAATACATGCAGCCATTGTTCTATTAGGGGCTGCTCAATGATGTTCATCTCAGTTTGCTCATGGGAGTCTTCTTTTAAATATGCAAAGGGATTTTCAGCTTTATAGCATGTAAAACTTTCCATTTTCTTTATTTATTTGGTTTTCAATCTTTTCCAAGAGTACACCACATCCTTTTAACTTCACTTGTATATCTTCTGTTTTTCAACATCCTTGTTTTCTTTAATCCCAAAAATAAAGCTGACACAAAGTCAGAACTCATGAAGAAACATTGGTACAGATAAAAAGAAATTTGTGTGGAAAAAATGGACTGCACACACAAACAAGCATTCCGCTAAGATATCCTCTGGCCTGATTTTTCAACAGGCCACAATAAAGTGGCTTAAACTCAAGTGAATAGGCTAATAAAATAAAGGGGAAGAGGTAGTAGCCAATAAATTGTACAATTCACACACCCATCAGAAATAAAGAATAAACCACTTCAAGGGGTCCCAAGCGTGTTCAGCAGATAGTTAACCCAATCCAGCTTTGTTCAATTCCTTTAGTATGAAAAACCCTCAATTCCATCTTCACTTTGAAACTATGATCCTTCATGTTATAGTCAATTATACTTCATGATAGAGACGAAAGAAATTTGATTTTAAGAGAAAAACCAAAAGACTAAATTTTGCTTCCAGCTCAATTTAATGGCATGAGTTCCAGTCCAAGAATCACAACTCCAATTAATTATTAAGCCAAATGAAAAACTGGCTTGCAAAACCATCAGATTCAAAAGACTCCCCAAAATTGCAATTCTACGAGACAAAATTCCAATGATACAACTATGAATATCACCATCATTTCAAAGCTCTACATCAGATGACTCAGCATTTGCTTAGCTCAATTTCAAGTCACAAAAAGCAATTAAAAAACATATTCATAAAAACTCAACACAATCACAGCATATGACTCTTTGCTTGCCTAATCCTTTAGTACACTTTCTGTCAATTATTGCTAAGCTTCTTCGCTACAAACTTTCCGTTGATATGAATGAATCCTTGTCTGTATCCTTCATATCCATTACTGTTCTTGAAATGCTAAGAACTTGATATCTGAATCTCTTGCCCTTTTTTGGCCACATGTATCTTTTACATTGCAAATTGAATAACATTCTTTCACAGAACATGTATCCCTTTTTGAGAATGATCTTGATTTAAGCCTAAACTTAAATATGCCCAGAGTCTAATAAAAGCACCTTTGTGCATGCTTGCATCAAGTTCTAGAAGGACAATAAAACAAAAGGAAACCAACAAGACATAACCTGTTTTCTCCAATAATTATGAGCGTTATACCACGTGAATCCCACAATGATATGCAGGGGGAAACAAGTCAAAAATCATTACCTGTGCCCCACTCTCAACGGCACGTTTCTGACGAATATATTCCATCAAAGGAGTGACTATTGGTGCTTCCTTGGCAGCCCCTACAAATATTAGACACAATGGTATTATAGGCACCACTATTATTTTCTAACCACCTTTATCACTAACAAGAACTCTACAGCAAAATGTAATAAGCTGAGCAAAATGATGTTGGCATATGTAGTGGCGGATGCTGCAATGAATGATAACTAACCAGCTTGCTCAGCTTCTTTTCTTTCCAACTGTATCTCTGCACTAGGAAGATGCTCAGGTGGTTTTGCAATAAGTTTGAGAAACTCAAGATAATCTGGATCTGTTATTTGTTACAAAGAAAGTAAGTCATTACTATTATTAAAAGGGTAAGCACTCTAAGTCTAACTAGCATTAGAGTTTTCACATTAAAAACATAAAATTATAACCAAAATAACACCTTGTATATAGTCCCTTCACGACCATCCTTTTTGGTACTTGACTTTGGAACACGCTGAGAAGGTGAATATTCAACTATGGCCTTATGTTGGGCACCTATAAATGAATTAAATTTAAAACAAGAAAAAAAAAACATCTTAACAAGAGGTTTGTGTTAAAATTAATTGGACCTGCTATGTTCTATATGCATAATGAAACAATGCAATCCACTCCAAAGGGAAATAAATAAGCTTATGGCAGTTTCATCTCATGCTCAAATCAATTAATTACCTTTCTCATTAACAAAGACATGTCCATCAAAGAATTCGGCAAACTCAAAAACATCTTCAGCACTATTGAAGTTTATGTAGGCTCGGGAATATTTCTGATGCTTGTAACTGCCAATGTTTATTCAAAGCAAAGCTCCATATGTTAAAAAAGCCCTTAAGGTCTCAATTACATTATAAGAAAAGAAAAACATAGGGCAGCAGATATAGAACATCCTAAACATGCGAATGTTTTACAGATAAAAGGATAAGATGTGAGGTAGGCAGATATCCAAGCCTTTCATGCCAATTCTATTAGAAGCGACCAATACTTTTATTACCCAAGCATACCCCACTAACTCTAGTTTAGTCAAAAGTGAAGGGGAACAAAAAGACTGCCAATAAATGTACGACCACCTACTCAATTCATAAAAAATAAAAATTGCTATAACCTAAAATATCTCAACAAAAAAATCAATAAAGGAGTCAATATAATTGCACATGTCACAGTTCGAACATCTATAGCATGAAAACTACATTAGAGAAAGTTCTTCAGTTAGTTTTCTGAATGTCTTGATAACTTTATAGCTTTTCCCCCTTTATGCCTCTTTATGTCTTGAAAGAGAAAATAATGAAACAGAAAATTAAAATTTGGTAGAGATATAACTTTTCTTCCCCTTCTTTGGGTTGTTCACCTGACAATCACTCCATTAAATGGCTACATTTTGCTCAAATTTGCCAATTCTCTTGAAAGAACGTCACAGGGCTTTTGATCAGAAGTTCTTGCATTGCTGATGCACAGCTCCGGAACAACTTCTATATGGCTTTGTATTTCAATCATTAACACCAGTGAAGGGCAATGAAATTGTTCAAATTATATAATATAGAAATTCTATGAAATCACACTATTTATGAACAATGAACATTGTGACTCATTTCCTCAAACTCCAAGTAATGCACAAGACGCATAATAAGCATAAACTCACTCACTCCCATTCACCCTTTTGTTTACAAGTAAAATGTTAGTTTTATCTCTGTTTAGCCAAACTAGACAGGCATGTGTTAAGATGTTAAATTTTCCTGTTTGATCATACTAAATGAGACCTTATGTTCAAAGTTCTTCATCGTGTTTAATCAGAGTAATAAACAGAAAGTGAGGGGACAACAGTGACCTGATCCTGAGTAATGACTAGATAATACAAGCTAATTTAGCATACCCTAATTTAAAAAAAAAAAAAAAGAAAAGAAAATTCTGAAAGGCATGCTTGAAATCAGTGTCGCACTGACACTAATTCATGATTCGTCACAATCCATGGAGAGATTATCAGAAAAACATGCCATGTTGGAAGACCTAGGGCCCAAGCCCAATGCTGAGTTTTACTTATTCAATTGCTTATTGATTTTGTTATTTATTTAGGTTTCATTAACTATTTATTGCTTTTGCCCTAGATTTTCATTCTTATTTAATATATGTATTCGCTCCTGCCGCTCAATAATATGCAAAGAAAAAATTATCTCTATTTCATTAAAATGCCAGTCTATTCATTTCACAGCATGAAGGGTAGGTATAGTTTATATGTTATTTTGGTCTAGGATAAGCAAGTAAATAAATAGCAGACAATATATATAATAGCACTAAAATAATAAGCAATTGAACAATGAAACAGCACAAGAGAAAATGCAACACATGTATATTACAATATATTTAATGACAATCATAATTATCATGAAATAATATACCCGATCCTCTATTATTCTTCCTAATTATCTCATTTCTCATTTCCAACTCCTGCTCATCTTTCCAATTCCCAACAGAAGATATATGTGGGAAAAAAAGAATAAAAGATGCATGTCACTGTGGCAATAAGACATATTTGTGAAGCAAATTATAACATTAACTAGACTCGTGGGCCCCAAGCCTCACTATTCATTATTGGTGAACAGTATGACTTATCATATAACAAACCCATGTGCACACTCATACATACATACATACATACATGTATATAAAAGATACATACTTCTTCTCCAGGTTTCATAAATACAATAAAATAAATTATTATATAAATTCACAATCTATTAATCCATTCTCCCTCCCCCATCTTCTGGTAAAATTTATCTCCTCTTTAAAAATTAAGATTCAAAAATTAAAATCACAATCTCCATCTCCCCATTTCTTAGTTTTTAATATCTTCCCATGACTATCCAATAGGTGATAAGTGATAAATCAGTCTCACCCTCACCGTCTTCTTTCACCTGAATATTTTACTCTCACTCATGGCGAAACAAACAACTTCAGCAGACATTGTGCATCTTTCTTGTTTGAAGGCATGATCTCATCCGTAGACTCTCTTAGATGGCTTGCATACTCTTTTTGATGGTTTGACAAACGACTTATTACTTTTAGTCTTAGAACACCCTGTTCTGAATAAGAATTGGATGCCAGATCTTGCATGCTTTGGAATGCAACGTGATTGCGATTAGAAGCACCAAAAAGAACTTCAGCGCCAAGAATATTCAAATTAGGTAATGCTGCTTGAATATCAACTAATTAATTTCTAATGACTAAGACTTCAAAAGAGAGAGCCTAAGAATCTTAACAACAGTCTAACAAAGGAATAAATAAACCATTAAATAAACGAATAGCATGTTCTGTTTCAGGGCCTCGACATTTTTTTGGTGGTGAAATTGAATATATAAAGCATAGCTTATTATCACAATTCATCTGGGATGTCTGTAACATCCACTAGGTCATACTAATCTCATTCTCGAACAGCTGATATATATGACGACTATATACAAATTAAGCAATTCGACATTCTTATGTTATTTTCAAGGGGTTTACTGCCTCTAGGACGTTTTTTACACTTGTGTGAATTATATATTCACACTCTACCGTTTTCCTTATGCTGAAGAAATTGTCAACAGACATAAGGTCATGGGCTCCACAGCCCAAAAATGACCTCCGACAACAAAATGCGTGTAGAAAGTATTTTTCAAGAAAGAAAAACACACTGACCAGAAATTAATTCCGCAAGGTTAACGGATTCAGATGTCTTGGTGAGGCAGAGAAGGAACGCAAAACAATAAAGAACATAAAAAATAATAAAAGCAATATGGAAACAATAAATAAAAAAAGAAAAATCTAACCTGGTCTTCCCGGGACGAAAAGAGAACCAATTAAACCGACCAGCAAAGTGATCATCAATTTGTTGGAGGAGATCGGACTGAACAAGAGACGGAGGCAAATGCCTAATAACCACTTTAGTTCTTTCTGGAGGAGCCTTCATCTGAAATTGGAATGAATGGGAAGATTCTGGATCATGGACAGGAAAAATTTAGCGTGAATTGGTTTGCGAATTTGTTGAATTAAGAGGAGGAAGAAACAGAGACTCTTCTTGTTCTTGAGTGACTCTTTCTTTATTTCGCTTTCTCTGGAAATTCGGAGTGGAAAATTTGTCAAAATAAAATCCTTTCGAGAAGCGAAAGATCGCGCCCGCAGGAAGGAGGGATCCAGAGGGATTGACATGGGCCTAAGATTTAAGGCCCATCAAGGAAGAATGTCTCGTCATACTGTTTTAACTTTTTCTGGCCTATTGATTTTAAATAAAAATAAATTAATTTCAGATAATTTAAATATTTTATAAAAAATATTTATTTTATAGAAATTTTATTAAAAAAAACTAAAAACTGCGCTCTACAATGCACGGGATTAAATAAAAAAAATATAACAAAAAGTTATAAAGAAACAATTGATTTTAAAAAAGAAAAAAGCAATTGTGGATATGGCATTGTTATATTCACTGTTCCATGAAAAGTAACTTTTCTTATAGATTAGAGGATAAGATTATTTCATATTTGATTATAATAATAAAAGATTGTTTAATACATAAAGTGCATTATTTTGGAAAGGGTAACCTTTAGATAACACCCAAATTTTATAAAAAAATATTTATTTTAAAAAAAACTAAAAACTGCCCTGTACAACTCATGAAATTAAATAAAGAAATATTATAAAAAGTTATAAAGAAACAATTAAATTAAAAAAAAACAATTGTGGATATGGCATTGTTATATTCACTGTTCCATGACCAGTAAATTTTACTATAGATAAGAGGATAAGATTATTTTATATTTAATTATGATAATAAAAGATTATTTAATACATAAAGTGTATTATTTTGGAAAGAGTAACCTTTAAATAACACTCAAATTTTTAAAAAATTAATAGCACTTTACCTATTGTGAGGATATCTTAAAAATTTTAAAAAAAATTCCCTTCGCTCTCCTCCTCCCATCCTCCCCTCCTCTTGTTTGATAAGGTGGAGGAGCCTTCTCTCTAATCAAACACTATCTAAAAAATAAAAAAAAAGTAATAAAATATTATTTAGTGATTTGTAGACTTTATGATATTTTTGTGGATATCTATTTATAGATTTTTATTTAAATAATTTAATTTTATTTGAATAATTTGATTTTACAATAATATTTCATTTCATATTAATGATATATTTATCTTCACATTTATTAAAATTTCAATCAGTTTTTATTTCACTATTTGAATCCATACTTGTTTGGACATAAGTTAAAGCCATAATTGAAATTTGTGGTATATATGTACTTTTTTATTTCATTTTTGTTCGCATTCTTTGGGTCATCAAGTCCAGCTCTCACCTCGCTCTCTCCATTTACCTAATAATAAATAATAATGTTACATATGTTTTCTTCTGAGAAAATTGGGGAAAATGACATTATCAGCAAATTAATTGGGGAAAAAGACCTAATTCTGAATCGGAATTTTTTTTTCATAATTTATTTTTTATATTCATGATTTTGCCTTTTTTTTCTTTCTTATTCTGCAAGTTAGGTCCTTATCCCAATTAATTTCAAGAAAAATGACGTTATCGGAGTAATCAATTTCACAACCACATGTTAAATTTAAAATTTGACCGAGAATTTAATTCAATGTTACATTTCTATATCCATTTCAAAATGTTTGAACTTTCTTATTATTTAATGCAGTCAGATATTATTATTTTTTGTGATAATCAGATATTGATTTTAATTAATGTTGTCCTGGCATTCATCGACGTAAATGGCGATATATTTGTTTTTTTAATCAAATTAAAGGCAACAAGGGTTCCAATAAAGTCACTTCTCACTTCTCAGACCTTTTTCCAAGTTCATGTTGTCACTTCTCAAAGATGATCCGCAGTGACAACTCAGAAGCATTGCTCTCATGTAGCATAAATATATTATAAATAAAAAAATGTAGGTAAATTTAAAAAGAAAATATAATTGGATGGATAAATAAATAATTCAAGTGTGGTAAAACTTAATTTTAGTTTAGGATTAGACAAACCAATATTTATATGTTTAAGAGAAAAAAGACAAGAAGAAAATCACCAACAATATGGGCCACTCTATTTTGACTCTTCCTAACTCCAATCGGATTAAAAGGCTTAGGTTGTAGAAAAGCCTTAGTAATGAAAATAGGATCAAACAGATATTGAAAAGGTTAAAAAAAAAAAACACACACACACACACTACATTTATGGTCATACAATATAAAATAATGTTCAGAATAAGTAGAACAGGTAAAAACTTTAAAGCTATAAAAGAATTTTTTAGAGAAGAATTCATCTTAATGGAAATAGCTAAATAGGAGATCCTTTCAAAACTTAGGTAATAATTTCAAAAAGGAAAAATATAATAGCAGGTTTATATGCTTTTTGTTCTTAGTCTTTATAATTTTATTTCCTTTTGTTATTCTTAATTATTTTATTTTAATTTAGTCCTTGTAATTAAAAATGCATAGGACTATAACTTGGTATTGATAGAGTTAATTTTACTCATATATACTTAAGTCTCAATATAGTCGATCTCATGGCCGTTTGTTTAAAATTAAAAAATAAGTAATTTTTAGATAGTTTAGACATGTCATAAGAAGTGATTTATTTTGTAGAGATTTTGAAAAAAATAAAAAAATATTTTGCATTTAGCTACAATCATAAAAAAACTTTTTACTTAAAAAAATAATTTTTAACTTGTTTGGATAAAACAATTTAAAAGTGTTTTTTTTTGTTAAATTATAATAATAGACATGTAAAAGTACTTTTTTAAAAAACATGTTTGGATAAAAAAAAATTTTAATAAATTTGCAGATACTTCAGTAATATTATTTAAAATAAATCAATCCAAACTCCAATCCATCAAAGTAAATGATAAAGTTTTTACAAACATTAAAAAATTAAAAAACAAAAACAAAAAAAATCTAGCGACGCATCTTGGCAACTAATCTTTAATACTATTTCTTATTTCTTATTTCTTCTATGTATTTAACATCTACTTGTGTGAGATCTCGCCATTCATTATGGTCAAGTACATTATTATCATCCTCATCATTAAAATGTTGTTAACTATCTCGTAACTCATTTAAATTCTCAAAATTTTGAAGAATATCAAAGTCATCTGAGTCCATCCTTCTAACAAAATTTTGAAGAATATCAAAGTCATCTGAGTCCATCCTTCTAACATACTTATAGAGAGCAAAACATATCCATATGATAGAAATTTGAGTGACAAGCTTGAAATTGGTTATATTTTGAAATATTCTCCATCTTGCCTTACAAACACCAAAAGTTCTTTCAATAACACTTCTCAAACTAGAATGATAAAAATTAAATATTTCATCTCTTGATCTAAAGCTAGGAGCCATCCTAAAATGTGCAAGATGATACCTTATATTCTTATATGGTCCTAGAAAACCTTTGAATGATGGATATCCTAAGTCAACAGGATAATATTTACCTATACATAAATAGAAAATATATTAAACAATATTACATAAATATTTATAAATCATTTAAATATCTCGAGTTATATAATACTAACTTTCAGGAGGATAAAGGAATTGTAAATGTGGTTTATGAAGGGTGTCCATAAAAATCTGTGCATCATGAACAAATCCTTCCCAGCCACACAATGCAAATGTAAAGCACATATTAAAATCACATATAGCCATTACATTTGTGCTCCTATATCCTTTCCTATTATAAAAAGGTATCTGCTTATCTACTGAGACATGTATGCCATCAATTGCCACTATGTAGTCTTTAAAATAAGGCCATTATCGATCATTATCTTTTATGTGTTGAGAAGTAGCAATATGAATTGGATTAGTGGGCCTAAATACATGATTGCCTAGCTTGTATACAGCTATTAAAACTCTTTTGAAATGGTTGTGAATGGTTTGGCTAGTGTGTTGAAATCGTTCATGAACTTGTCTCTATATGGCTCTTTGACCTATGATATACAAGAACAAAGCAACATTTTCATCCACTCCAATGTATTTGGTAGGTGTTAGTCCATAGTTATTGCTTAACTCCTACAACAATAGTTGAAACACATGTTTTCTCATTTGAAATTGCTTAAAAAACCTGTTATCATTTCCCTTTATCAACTCTACTAGCCACCTGTGATCAGAAAGAATCGAAGTAGTTTTCTTTTCTTTTTTTTTTTAAAACATACTTCAACACATGATTTGTAACTAAAAAGGTAGCTAAATTTGTTGCACTTTGAAGTCCATATTCATAAATATTTTGGACTTCAATTTCCATTGTAGAATCATCATCACTTATAAATGAATTATTAGTCATCTTAGAAATATAAATGTAGTCAATACAAATTGAACAAACATATATAATTTTGACTAAATATTATCAAGTGTTTCATAAATCAAATGAATCAAATAACATATAAAAACATGTGCAATATTATGAATTCAACACATATGAAAAATGTCCTCATGTGTGAAAGTGTTTAGCTAATTGATGGTCATCTCCCAATCGTTGTCCATAAAGTGACAAAATGCTATCCTATTTTCTTTGTTAGTCAGAATTCTCACGGTCAAAAAATATTTATTTGTTCGTTTTATCAAGTTTGGAACCTCATTTAACATTGATAAACACTTATCATAACTAAAAGGATCATTTTGTTTTGATCCACTAATAATAGATCCATTCCATCAAGAATATGATCTAGAGAATTTTGAAGTTTCTTAGCTATTCTAAGTTTTTTCTCTCCTTTGCCTATCCTCTTCCTCTTTTTGTTTGAAGGATTTGGAATTGCATTTGCTTGAGCTTCTTGACTAGCTTCACAACTATCTGCATCATCCTTACTAGCTAGATTTTGTTCATTATGTTCAATACCCTTATTGTGATTATCCTCATTATGAATATTAGTTCCTTTATATGATGGGGGATTTTGATATGGAATTAAAAGAGCAAATCTTGTAGCCACTATTTCATCAAAACACTTATCTTACAAATATAAGAATTTAGGTCCCCATTCTTCTATTTCAAAATCTTTAGATCCTCCTATAATAAAAATTTAAAATAAATAAATAAATCTTGTAAGTAAAAAAAATTATATATTGAACAAAACACAATCATACCCTGCT